AATTTTAAAACGAATTAAACGATTAGCAGAGAGCACCTGGTGGATGTCGTTAACGCCTCGTTTGTAATGCTCGTCTAGGAACCTTGACAGCTAGTGACGGAGGTTGTCTCGTCTCCGGCCACGACGAGAGAAGGGGGGAAGGAGGAACTCCCCTCTTCCCGAGAATCCCTTTTGTGTGTCGCAGAAGTCGCTATTGTCCCCCTAGAAGATTATAGAAGATTAATCCGTCACTCAAAATTCGTACAAAAGCAGCCGCTTCGGTGGCTGGAACGACTAGGCCATCCTCTCAACGTCAGCCCCGCCGTAGCTTTGCTCGTCTTGAGACGACCTACGTCACGATTGCGTTGGATGTCACGTGCTCTAAGCTGGGCCTTCTCCGAGCGCTTGCCAGAGTGGGCCGTTTATAACAAAAAATACAGCCACCAGGATCAAAATACAAATCTGCGATTGTCATTTACGGATATTGTGGATCATATTCAACCTATTTTTGAACACGACGGGAATATTTCAAATTTCGTTGAAGTATCCCTTTAAACATCGGATAATGGAACATCCGCTGCACCGCTAAATATCAGACTGAGGAATGTCAGTTGCCATCATTAAAAATTAATAAAATACAATGTAGTCAAGCACGAGTGTTCTCAATCGAAATGAATTTAACCGCTGCATTTGAACACACAAATAAGCAGTATAGTCTTTGCAGAGAAGGCGACCTGCGGAAACTGCGTTTGGCTGTTCTGAGAACGTGGGAGCGATTTCGATCACTTCTACAGAAGATACAACTAAAAAAGGGGGAAATCGCGTCAAGCAAATTGAAATCTCATATGATCGGCAGTAATATAAAAAAAATTGAACGAAATAATAAATGGCTTTGGATAAAGTGGGTTCAAAATATCGGTTAATTTCATTTTCGACGATATTACAAATTTTAAATAAAAAATTCAGTGAAAATAAAATAAACTTATGCCCGTCGATATTCCATGTGTAGGGCTACACCAATACCACCTAGAACCACGACCAACTCTATAAAGAACACAAGGCCTGCGCATGTAGATCCCCGATCCGCCCCAAGCGGCAAACACCCCGAAGCTTGACGAGAGTAGGGGCTCCCGGCGGAGCACGGGAGAAAAGTGATCGCAGAGTGGCGATCACTTTTCGTCTGCCCCGCCACTCTGCGATCACTTTTCTCCCGTGCTCCGAGCTCGCGGCTAGGCGTTGGGCGAGCTCGGAGCCTCCGCTAGCAGACGAATTCTCCGCAACGCATTCCTTTTGCCTATTTCCGTGCGAAGCGACCAATGAAAAACTTCGTCCCGGGTATTCGCTGCTTTTAATGTGAAAAAAAAGGTGCCACCTCATAAGTGAAGGACATTTTCTTCGCGTGGGAAGGATGTTAGAGCTTTCAGGTTGCAATTTCGGGGCTCTCCTGAAGTAAACACCCTGTCACAACTTATATAAGCGAGACAAAACGCGAATGTATCTTCGCATTGTCTTTTGAAAAAAGGGCAATGTACCAAAATTTTGGAACGTAGCGACATTTCAACTTTGCTATTATTATCAGTCAATTTGTTTCGTTGTTGCAGCTCCCATTTCTCCTTGTTTATAACCGTTTTGTCGAATAGACGAATAGGATGAAGAAGCAAAACGCAATTTCGAACCACGTACGTTATTGCGATCTCAGTATGCTCTGGAAGGAGTCGATTGTGCACATGCAAATTTAACGCTATTACTGAAATTAATAAAAGCGGAGTTACAAGAACAGCAGACTTCTTGCGCGTCCAAAAGAAAAAAAAAAAAAAAAAAGAACAGCGTCGTAGTGCAAAAAAACAACAACAAAAGGATTGTCAGCGCCCGGGCGGCGTATTTCCAAAACCTGGCCCTTCCAGATCTGCCGCGGAGCGGTGTGCTCTGATTGGCCAGATTACCGCCGCAAAAAATATTGACGGCGACGCACATACGGCGCCGGTCGCCGGCAGGAGCGTCTGCTACACTCCGGCGGATACTTTGGTGTTGTGGTGACTTGGTGGGCACGCTGTTGTGTAGAATACGTGTTGTTTCGTCTGCCAGTGCATATCCATTGAGTTATTCCGCATATCACGCGCATAAAAGTCGGTAGCAGAAGTTTCGAGCATGCCGATGTCCACAGTTCGACTGCTCCAACCTCGGCGATTCTTTACCCAAGCTCGAATGAAGTAGGCCTCGCTGCTCTGTTCCGTAATTGAAACCGTGTACACGTGGAGTGCTTGCAGTGCTAATGCGCAGTGCTTTTCAACCGTAATTCAAGAAGCGAGAACGATAGCCCTGCACAGCGTGTGGCTGGTGTCAACGTTTTCCGTGTGGCTCCTATCACAGTAAGCCTTGTCGCCTTCCTACGCGCCCGCGTAGCGCCCGCAATGTTGTCAATCGTACTGCTCAATTAATTCGCTGTTTTTCTTGCTCTGAAACGCTATGCAGATTTTATATCCATTTCAATGCTTCACAGTTGAATGAACACTTGTTTGTGCTGAACAAGATTGCCATGAACGGATTTACTTCCGCGGTTTTACGCCCCGCAAATGTTTACTTTTTCTGCCGTATTTTCACGTTTTATTGCACAGACTGCTTTGATTTGTACCGGTTTTAGGCTATTTGGCGCATACCAAGTTTTGTGAAATTAAAAGGACGCGAATTGGTTTCAAGCTGTTTGTTTCTTACGCCTATCATGATTTCACGTCGTGTTATTTTGATCAGCACTGGAGGTGAGCTAGGACTGCTCCAATATGTCTTTTTAACCCCAAGGAGCAGAGAATAAAAACCCATACAGAACTCGGTTTCAATAGATAGGGACCTTTTCCTGGTGCCTTTTTGTTCACTGTTCCCTTCTCTGCACTTGATACATAGGTATGTGACCTGTTCAGTTACCTGGAATGTCACCTTCCCTTTCAGCCTGTGGAGGTCCATGGGAATTAGAACAGAAGCATTAATGCCATCTTCAGAATTACTTGTGCATCAAATCCTGTTACCCACGGGACATTCTTGTGTGAATCTGAAGTCCATGCTATTGATAGCTTCTCCATGCTAGTGATAGACTCCAGCTACAGTCTAGTTTTGTCATCTTTATTTCGGTCCCATCAATTTCCAGCTGCTGATGTCATCACTGTGTAATGCTGAAGTTCTAAAGGCCCCATAAATTACAGGCAGATCCACACAAGATCCACAACACTGAGCACAACGAATGCAATGCTGCTGGTTCTTACGACCAGCGACTTATACGCACACACCCCTAACATGCCCCAGGTCGAGTCCCTAATAGCCGCATCCCACTAGAGCAACAAGCGACATACGACACCGACAAACGGCCTGTTTGTCGGAGTCCGCTGTCCCACCTGGCAGACACGACACGGAACACGGGGACAAGGAAACTTGTTTGCTAGTGGGACTGGAGTTGTCAACAAAACACTTCAAAATACAGAGACAGAGTATGGCAAAGCGGTTTTCTTGTTTTGCTCTCTGGGCGTCAAATGCCCCAACAAACACTATGAAAGTGGAGACGATTACTTTATTCCTTGTTTAAAGCTTCCACTTGTCTTCATTTGCCGTTGGCGACTTTCTGAAAACAGTCGTGACAATCGACACCCAACTTTTTCCGAACTAGAATTCCTGAATCATTCCTTTTTTTGGGTCGTTCGAAGCATTCAAGGTGAGCGCCATGGGATTTCACGTCGATTTGAGGACGTTTTTAATTTCATATCCGAATGACCGAATGGCAGGCGTTTTATGGGAGACAATCACAGAATGGATGACAAGTCTCTCAATTTGCCGGAATGGCTAGCCACAGAACTGGCGGAACGTCGTGTCCTACTTCGTGGTAAGCGGTCTTACTTTGGTCAGTCCTCACACGTGGGTGTATCCATCCTGATGCAGGGGCGCAGACTTCGGCATCTTGAAGCACCAACTCGCGCACAAAGTTTTCGTGAGCAAAACCAGCCACAGCAAATTCCCTTTTGCAACACGACATCTAGCAAGCAAGCCGGGCCCGCGACTACAACGAGCAATCCAGGAATCGAAACTGCGGGAGCGGGAACAATCAGTGGCCGCCAAGGACTGAGTCACGGGAGGAATGGGAGGAAGGGTAGGAGGAGGGTGGGGAAGACAGCAACAGAAGGCACAAGCGGGCGAGAAAATTAAGTTTGTCCCCAAGTGATGTTCCTCGGTGGGACTGCTTGCTGCGCTTCAAGTTCAACGACAGACAACAACTCGTACGTCGTCGATGGTTTGTCGGCGTTTGTTGCGGGTGCTGGTCACTGCAGTGGAACAGCATCAGCAACACAAACCTTTGTGGTGTTGCTGGACAAAAATCAGTGTTTGTCGCTCTAGTGCAGGGGTGGCCAGGCTGACCCGGCCTAAGAGCTACAAACAAAACTACGAAACTTTCAAGAGCCGCGGGGGGGGGGGGGGGGGGGGGGCTTTTGTCTAGAGCAATTAACGAAACTCGAACTACTTTCAATCTATCCGAGTCAAAAGCACTCCAACTGGTCGTAAGGTAGCAGCAGCACAAGACTACCAAACTGCAACCTGTCTTTCGACTTAAAACGTGTTCCATTTCTTTATTTTGGGGAAGTGCTCGTGTGATAGGGAGGGAGGAGGGCAAGGGGGAGGGGGAGGAGGGGGGGGGGACCGCGAGCTGCACTTTAACACGCGAAGTTGCGAGCCGCAGCTTGGCCACCCCTGCTCTAGTGGGACGACGCTATAAGAATTTTCTACTCAAAGTACGCAAATCTATCCCTCGGGAGGCCTTTCCCAGAATTAGCAACACCTTCCCAGATTGACAATCATGGATGAACCCCTGGTCTCAATCCTGGAAGTGTTACAGCAGTGGAAGGTGGGCACCGCAGATGCCTGTTCTGCTGCGTCTCACTAGCAAGTCAGTCGAGGGAGATTCAAGGAACTCCAAGTTGGGACATTGCGACCAAAGCAACATTTTCCCCCCTCTGCTTGAACTTCTAGAACGAGCCATACCGGGATCGAGACAATCTGCACCAGTACATGGCAGCTCCTATGACCCATCTTGTAACGCCTTCATCTCAACCGCCATTCTCCAGCAGTTCTTTTAGGCACAGTCTTCAGAAGGTAATCAAAAGAGCATGCACAAGCTACGTCAGAGGTCCATGTGCAGTTCAAGGTCTTGCATCCAAGAAATATTTCTCGAGACATTCACAACATATGTTGATGAACACCAGTGTTGCAGGCAAACATCTGCCAAGAAACCACACTTGATCATGCAGACACTTGCTTCCCAGAGGTCGATTGCGTAGAACCGGATGGTGCAGCTTGATCCTGCCCATCAACCAGGCCTTTGGCACATACCCTCTACTGTGTAGCATTGCAGATGCTTGAAGTACAGCAGACTGCCAGCCTGATGGGGCAAGAAAGACCAAGCAGTCAACCCAAGCCACTCTTGAACCAATGTGCAGAAAAGGAAATTCAAACATAGAGATATGAAACATGCTGTAGTCAAGACAGATTGTAGGTCGCTCTGCTTGTTCTGGGTGTGTCCTGATCAATCCATTAAGTGGGAGTGGGAGACGCCCTTTTAAAGGGCCCCTAAAAAAGAAAAGTATTTTTTAACAATCTATAGTCGGTGACAGGTCAAGAACGAAGTGGAAGCTTGTCCCATTTCTTTCCACTTTAGCAGTGCGAATGCTGGAGAGAGGGCGACCTCCTCTCCACCGTTCGCTCCGCTCAAGTGGAAAGGGGTGGGAGGAGATTCCACTTCGTTCTTGACCTGTCACCGACTATAGTTGGGACACGTGTGTCAAAAAAAATTTAACGTCGGGAAAAAGTTTTTTAGAGCAATATTGACGGCGCAAGACGCGATTTAGTCGGCAGTCACGTCCCTTATTGCTTGTTTTCTCTCTCGGCATTTCAGGCGCGTGGAGCAGAGGTAGATCGCCTTCGCCTTCACGACCAAGATGGTCACTTTGGAATGACCCATGACGTCATGGATTTCGCGCACAATTTCAATTAAATCTCGCAATCAATATTGCTCTAGAAAATCTTTTTTTTTTTTTTTCATGAACTTTTTTTTAGCACATGTGTCCCACTAGACTGTTTAAAAAAAACTTTTTTTTTTCTTTTCAGCGGTCTTTTAAGTTGGCCATAAAGTTACTTCCCAACCAGCAAGTTATCCCTTGAAGTCCTGCTGCATGCTACCTTAGGAAGAAAGTTGAAGATGCGAAATATGGATCGGAATGAGCAAGAATGCCTTCCAAGGCGAAAAGTATTGATGTGTATGCTCCGCCAAAGTGCTTACCCTGCTACATTTCACCAAAATGTGATGAATTTATGCCTACATTGCACCATAAGGGAGTTTCCGTTTATAACTACCGAAACTAATAGTTCAGGCGTCGCAGTACTGCCAGATTGTTCCTGTAACATTGTGCGAATCGTTCAGAACTTCCGGTTATCGCTTAGAATAACGTGTGATTTGATTAGATTTACACACCGAACATGACTCGGTACTCGGATGTTTCGTGATATCTCTCAATGTAAGTGGTATGTTCAGCAGTCTATCTCCATTGAATGCGCTTCTCACACCACGCACTGGTGCACTGCCGAGAAGCTACACCCGTAAAGTAGGCATTGCAATTCTGCACATGTCGCTTTGCCGCAGCGCAGCCTTGTCTTAAAGGGGCACTATAGTGCTTCTTGAGATCCTCGTTTTATTGTTATAACTCAATCTACGAGCACTAACCACCCTAAGAAAACAAAAATTACATTCATCTGCGGCCAATTTTCATACTAAAACAATTGATCAAAATTTTCGACACTTGGCGTCAGCGCAGAATGACAGATGGCGCTACCGAACCTTGGTGAATACGGTCAAACAACGGACGGCACGTGTCGGCTAGTCGCGGGCAATTGGGTCCACCGTGGACGAGCTGCCGACCAATCGTGCTCGTCCACGCAAGAACCCATCGCTCGCGAGTGGCTGACACGCACCGTCCGTCATTCGACCATATTCAGCAAGGTTTGGTAGCGCCATCTGTCATTCTGCGACGATGGTAAGTGTCTGGAACCATCACTTTCTTAAGATACGAATTGGCCACAAATGAATGTAATTTCTGGTTTTTTAGGATGATTAGTGCTCGTAGATTGAGGTATGACCATAGAACGAGACTTTCAAAACACACTTTAGTGCCCCATTAAAGGGATATTGAACTGAAATTTGGATTTTGCAAAATAAGGATGCATGAGCGTTGAACAAGACGCTAGGAACTTCAAGACATGACTCGTACATCAATATCTCAACCGGATGGCCACACTTTTGGAAAAGAAGGGCGTGATCGAGCGAGGTCTTTGACTTCATTGTCCTCCGGCAGAATTTCAGAATGAGGGGAAGCAGCCTCGCTTCTCTCCTCCTCGCTTCAGTTCACTAGCTCGAAGGGACGTAGCGAGGAGAGGGAATGGGACTCGTGACGAGACCTGTCTCGTCAGCCGTGTTCACTCACACAATTTTTTTCCAAAAATACAGTGATCCGTTGGAGATATCGCTGTAAGAGTGTTGTTTTGGGGTTTTGCAGCGTCCCGCCTATCCGTCCAGCTTCGTTTTGTGAGCTCGAAATTTCTGTTCACTATCGCTTTAAGGGTAAAGCACTATTCCAGGGTGAAAAGATGGACAACAAAGCATGAATTAGAAAAATATATATATATGTGAAAGGAAAGGGAACTTGGTGAATGCTGATGTGATATTTACCTTGCAGTAAACTTTGCTAAATAAAAATCTGGTTAGTCTATATCAGGGGTGGCCAAACTGCGGCTCGCGAGCCGCATGCGGCTCATTGCGGGTCTAAGTGTGGCTCGCTGGTTTTGGGTAAGTGTGCCACCCTACAACTCCTGTGTCCCAAAGACGAAGAGACTTTTAGAATTATAAGAAAAAGCTCACAGACTTGGCACCCTTGTATTACACTGCGTAGATAGAGCAGGGCTGGTTTTTGACACATTGATGTGTCCAGTGACACTGTTTCCTTTATTGTTCTAGAGAAAATTTTGAACCGTATACGCATAACAAACGTCAGGGGCAGTGGCTGGCTAGCAAACCAGCCGAAGCTTTAATTTTTGCTGAGCGGTTAAAGTAACGTTCTGCTGCTTGGTGTTATTTGTTGTAGTCAACAATTATACTTGTCCTTTTTGGAAAGCACTATTCCCTCCACATAGTTTTTTTTTTTTTTTTCTTTTTAAGTAGCCTCCCCCCCTTTACTTTTCCTGTGGCTCTTTGAACTTTTGTTATTTTGTCTGCGGCTCTAACCCCATGTCACTTTGGCCACCCCTCGCCTATTAGCCCCGAGAAGTTTGCGTGGCGCCCCCTTACGGCGAACCGGGGTGACGTCACGGCGAGGAGAGAATTTTTCTCCGGCTCGCCCCGCTCGCCCTGTGGAGGCTGCGACGACGCTAGCTGTCGGCGCGCTCGTTCCTATTTAATTTTTTTTGGCGTGTTTTTCGTAGGAAGTTTAATATTTTTTTTATGTGCCTTTATTGAGGTATGGCCTGTAGCTTCAGGCGAAACTTCGACCAACATTTTAAGCATGGTTGACAGGGCAGGCAACGCATGAATCGGAGCTGGTATATGAAAATAAAGAAATATGGTCACAATTGCAGGAGCAACACTATAGATTTACATCTCGCACAAAAAGTGCTGCTGATGGTCTGAATGAATTGGCAGGTTATGTATACTATTTTTTGTTTTGTATCTCCGTTTTTAAACAAGTTCGCCGAAGCAGAAAAGCTGCATGCCGCTCGGGTAACATGCTAAATACGGTCTGGGCCATGGGGAGAGAATCACAAGTAAGACAGCCCAAGGGCAGGGGCAAAGTAAAAAAAACAAGGAACATTTATTACATACATTGCTCGCATTTGACCTTTGCTGGATTCGGATAGTATTTCAATGGACTACACGGGTGATATCTGTGGACTTGTTTATATCAACCCTCAAGTAATGTATAACAAACGTAAGCGAAGGTGTCTAGCTCGTTATTAGTTCGTTAAGCCCTAAAATTGAGATTTTACTTAAATCGAATTTTCCTGAAGCTAAAATACCAGAACCTTTTCTCACGCAGAATGTCGCCCTTCACGGGTTCCACATTTTGTGCTACTAATGCTGCAACTACCACTGGACAAGCGTTCGAATGCTTGCTTTTACTCCTGTTTTCATCTGTTGTCAGAGAGTACAGCTGTAGGGAGTTTGGAGGCTGAGGAAGCTTTTGGAGACCTGCAGCAGTGTCTCTTTTAATTGGAAATGACAATTCAGACTAAACGGTGTATTTTCCGAATAACCAAAGCTGGAATAAAAGTGTCAGGAAAAAGTATAAACATTTCAAATTACGGCACATTTGCTGTGCATATTTTGGGCAGTCCAATACATATCATACAGGCAACTGCGGGTAATTCGGCCGTTTTTGCTGCTACCATACAAACTAAATTCTAATAATTGTGCATCTTCTATGAAATATGCCTGCATACGTGTATAAACTGTTTAATTAATTTACGAAGAAGCTACATTTATGTAAAGCAATCCTGTTCTATGATCACTTCAAAGATGATCAGACACAGGGCCTTTAAAACATCTGCGAACCAGCGTATGCAGACCGGCAGCACAAAGTCGGAGTCCCGAGCTAATTTGCCGACCACCCAAAGGCCCTTGATATGAATGCAATTTCAAATGCCTGCAAAGCGGGATGTAATATCGTCCTAAATCATGAACATGCAAGGAACAGAATTACAGCGTCCGAAACACTTGCGCCAACGCTCCACCAATCCTTCGCTAAATTGCCTTGTGTCGTGTGGACGGGCGGTGAGGTTCATCGGCGGAATTGCCTCCGCCGATAGCTTTCGGGATTTGTAACCCAATTTTCAAGGTAAAAGAGACAACCAGGCTTATAAAATGTACGGAAGCACGTCAATATCAGCCTAACTCAACGTCCTGTACACCGGGTAAACGAAGTCCAGCGCTTCGAAGAGCTTGCGGCACACAACGCCAAACCGGGAAACCGGTGCTGGGAAGCGAGCCGATGCGAGGTCGCGGAGCGGAGTACTCCCCCTGACGTCACGGTACGCCTCACCCAATCAGGGCGCGGCGACCGCAGCGACGCTTGTGTTCGCTCTCGGGGCTAATATGATAGACTTTGAGAGCTTGAAAATATTAGACACAATTCCTTTATGTGGTTAGCATACCTATTTAATGATGCTTGCTTATCCAAAAGTGCTCATCAGTGAGTAAATAATACATTCATCCCCAGAGCCTGACCTGTGATTCTGGGGGTATGCTGTGTAGTACGTCATTTATATATGTCAAGACTGACCCCAAAACAGAACTGTGAGCTACAGCCGAATATGCTGGCAGAGGGTTCGCAACATTACCGCTGCTTTCCACACTTTGGCTTCAATTTGTTAGGTGGGAATCAATCCAGTTAGTTATTACTGGTTCCATCTTAAATGTTTTGATTCTGGCCACAGGTCTCCAATGTGGCACTCAATAAGAGGCCTCATATAAGCCTACAAACCATATAAACCTGCTCTGTCATTTAGTGCTAATGCAATGAGCTGTTTCCTATGGTCTGTTCACTACCAAGCTGACATTGCGGTGGGAGCTACACATTCACTGGACCTATCGACCGCCTTCCACTCGTCACTGGACCCTGCTCCTGGCGCATGGATGTAGGCGGGGCAATGTGATCAGATGGCAAATGATGGGCGTACAACTGGTCCAGCAAGCACGTAGCTTCCTATGCACCGTCAGCTTAGGGGTGAACGGAAAATACCAGTTGTGCGACTGTACATAGGCCAGGTCACAACCCGTGTCGTCTAGGTTTATGGCGATTTAGCTCTGCCATAACCCAGGAAGGAATCAGACCATCTCATTTTTCTCCGACACGATTCACAGTGGTCCCATTGGAAGGAAATGAGATACATTTAATTCCCTCATGAGCTACAATGGAACTAAATAGCCATAAAACCTTTATCCATGACGACACACACGCAGCACCCGAAACGAAGGTGTGGGATGGCGATATGTGATGCCATTAAATGACAAAGCAGTACAACATCATGCTTGTGTTTAATATCTGTTAAAGTGCATGGTGGTTCTGCAATAACCCGCACATTAAGTTGAGAAAACTAATTCGCAACTAGCAGCATGGTTTTTAAAAAAAATATTGTTTGGAATTTTTGTGCGACGCTTGATGTCCCCATTATTTAGGTTCATCAAAATTGAGTGCTGAAAAAACATTGATTCAAGGCTTTTACAGTACCTCTTTCCTCATTCCATTTCATTGAAAAATTTCCCCCCTAAATCTAGCGGAAAATTTTCCCCGCTAAATCTACCGGAAAAATTTCCCCGCTAAATTTAGCGGGAAAACCCCCGCTAAATCTAGCGGAAAAACCCTCTAGATTTAGCGGGGAAGCTTTTCCGCTAAATTTAGCGGGGAAATTTTTCCGCTAAATTTAGCGTGAAAATTTTCCCCGCTAAATCTAGCGGAAAAAATTTCTCCGCTAAATCCAGGGGAAAAATTTCACCGCTAAATCTAGCGGAAAAATTTCCCCGCTAAATCTAGCGGAAAAACTTCCCCGCTAAATCTAGCGGAAAAATTTCCCCGCTAAATCTAGCGGAAAAATTTCCCCACTAAATCTAGCGGAAAAACTTCCCTGCTAGATCTAGCGGAAAATTTTCCCCGCTAAATCTAGCGGAAAAAATTTCTCCGCTAGATCTAGCAGGGAAATACTGGTCACGTGACCTGGGGGGTCACGTGACCCCTCCCCGAGGTCACGTGACCCCCTTCCGAGGTCACGTGACCCCCTTCCGAGGTCACGTGACCCCCTTCCGAGGTCACGTGACCTCGGGGGGCACGTGACTCTCCCTCCACGAGGACCCCCTCCCCTGAGGTCACGTGACCCCAACAAGGTCACGTGCCCTCGGGGGGGGGGGGGGGTCATGTGTGACCCTTTCCCCTATGTCACGTGACCCCCGAGAAACCGTGGCCCTCAGTACACTTCCCTCCTCCTCCTCAAGAGTTGCGCTCCAATTCGGCGTTACAGGGAGTGGTAAACGGCTTTCACTTTTTTCTCCGACACGATTCACAGTGGTCCCACTGGAAGGAAATGAGATACATTTAATTCCCTCATGAGCTACAATGGAACTAAATAGCCATAAAACCTTTATCCATGACGACACACACGCAGCACCCGAAACGAAGGTGTGGGATGGCGATATGTGATGCCATTAAATGACAAAGCAGTACAACATCATGCTTGTGTTTAATATCTGTTAAAGTGCATGGTGGTTCTGCAATAACCCGCACATTAAGTTGAGAAAACTAATTCGCAACTAGTAGCATGGTTTTGTAAAAAATATTGTTTGGAATTTTTGTGTGCCGCTTGATGTCCCCATTATTTAGGTTCATCAAAATTGAGTGCTGAAAAAACATTGATTCAAGGCTTTTACAGTACCTCTTTCCTCATTCCATTTCATTGAATGGCAGTGACAGCACCATAAGAATTGAACAAAGAGTGAAATCTGCCACCTTGTTGACAAACCTACCTGCTGAAGGTGGCCACGAGATTCCCTTGTCACCACTTGGTCACTTGAATAAGCCGTTAACTATTGTATCTAGTTGTACTATGGCAGCAATGTTGTAGCTGTGATGCTCGTCGGGCCAGGTCTCTTTCAGATGTGCATATTTCCGTCAGAGAGTAGCCCATCGCCATGGCAGCTGGTATGACAAGAGTATAAATACATTAGCCAAAAAATTGAACAGTCAGACAAGCTAGTCTACATGCCACACAATTCTACACAAGGAGACTAAAAAAAAAATGAAAGCAATGCAACATTGCCTTTACAGGGCTGTGTATCTCAATTCTCTTCCCTAGCCCTGCGTTGACCAAGACGTGATGTGTGCATACTTGCAAGTTCAGACGAAATGGGACAATCTACCTATGCGGTCTCTATAGTTTTGCATTGCAAAGGCAGACCATGTTTTTATTTTGGCAGTGACAAGGAGGCTACAGGCATAATCTGAGGTTCTTTTATAGATCAAAACAATTCTGTAAAGCGAACCCACGTTACAGCCTGTACCATGTCTACGTGAGGAGAGTTAAATTCTGGTTTCTCTCCTGAATGTCTATAATGAAGCACTATATGCCTAGCAGTGCTAGAACATTTCTTTGTCAAAGGCTACCCAGCAGCACAAAGTGAGTAAGGCACAGAACTTCCTTCAGTTTAAAAGGTTGAAACAGCGCAAAAACGACGGACAGGGTAAAGAAGGACACGATTTTAGACAACTGAAGAACCTTCAGTTGTCTAAGACCGGAGAATGAACCTCTCACAGGGGTGAATGTGCACAAAACGTGTCATTTAGGAATGTATAATAATGAGTGCGTTGTGAGCCAGATGTAGATAATGCGACAGATATATACTTTATGATGACATCTGAGCGTATGTACAATGTCTCGACATGCGAATTTGCTGTCCAGCCAAACATATTCCCCACTGCTTTATTCTGAGCGACGATTGCTACTCAATAACGTCACTGCAGCGTGGTGGTTTCAGACGGTGCTGTGTCATTAGCTATTTTCAGACGTCGGAAACTTAGCAGCAGACGGAAAAACTACTGTCGCAACTTCTACATCCATTCAGCCCAACTAGCTGACTAGATAAAATCATAACTAGGGATGTTGCAAACCTGCTGAGATTGCAGGAGTTAAGGTTTGAACTTGAAAAGTTTGCAAATTTCAAACCCTGCTGTGTTTTGAATTTGAAAAGTTTGAAGATGTCAAGTTTCTGAAAGTTCAGGTTTGAAGATTCCAACTCTCTTTACAGATTGAGTATGAAAAGTTTGAAAATTTCTAATTTCTTAGCTATTCAAGTTCAAAGAATTCGAATTTAAATTTTTGAATCTCGAGGAACGAAATCAAATACCACAATATAAAATAAAGATTTTAAGGACTCATGTGGAAAAAACGTGAAAGTGCTACAAAATTGACTAAAAATGTTGCACATTTTATTTTGTACCATAAACACTACTTTCTTCTCGGTATCAGGTTCTCGTGATACTTCTCGTTATTTATCATGATTTATGAAACAAGCCTTGAATTGAATGGTTCAGCGACAAGCCTTGAGGCGGTCTAGTATGCATCAGGAATTGCTACCTCTTTGCAAACTGGAAGCAATGCGATTGAATACCCCTAAATGAGATGCTGGCATGAGACAACGAAATATAAACAAGTTGATGCGTGCAGACAAAGTCGCCAAGGCAAAACATCTTGCTTCACGAAAGTTTGTAGTTGCTCTGGGCATTTATTTCCAGTGGGATGACCCGTGGAGCAGAGAGAACACTCCACGCAGGTACAGCACCCGACAGAGCTCGAGGCCAAGGAGCATGCAACCAGAAAAGCTCGCAGGTCCCCCGCCCCCCAAGATACAGCTGATGAGGTAATGACCGGTCGTGCATCAGGCTCACTACACTGCCGGTTTCTTTGGCACCTCAGTGGCTCCAAGGCAAGGCACCGGCCTACAGACACCAGGTGGCGGATTCTGACACCGGCCCAGGTGCCTGTAATTTGACAAAGGCTTATTGCGGAAAAGGTCATGTAATCAAGCTTTCTGTTGCACGTCTGATCCCCAGGTGGTCCAAATTAATTGTCAGTCATCTGCTGAGGTGTTCCAAATGCTTGTCGTCGGTTTGGCTTGTAAAACACCCAGATTTGATTTTGCATAGCTGGTTCTTTGCGCTTTCCTTCTTAGAAAAATAAGAAAACAAGCGTAGATATTAGTTGCTTTAAAATGCAAGCGGATACTGTTGATAACGGATCAAGTGCCTATCCAGTGTTGCCTCTCACGAGTCGGTGTCGCTTTCAGTGCGCGCCTTTCCCCAACCAGCCACTAACCGGAGGAGATCGGGCAACTTGCATTAAAAAGCAGCTAGGGTTATGAACAATGCCCCAGAAAAGTGCCTTTGTCGGATTTCCAACCTAAAGACAAGAAACCTGCAGGTTACTTTGGGGCAACCTACGCAGTTTTACACGGTAGAGGCTCTGTGCGAAAGCAGGAGAAAAAACTTCCAGGTACGAGGCCGGCTGCCACCCCAAAGCGAGTCGTTGGTGGCACCACCACATCTTTGTGTTACTAATATTTAAGACCTTATACGATTTGGGTAAAGTTTCTTCACACTTCGTCAAACTTCTGTATGTTTCACGTACCCAATTTTTCCCCTTCCACTGGAAACCTCAAAGATTATTTTTCAGTTTCCACTTCAAGTTTTTTCCAGAATGAAAAAAATTATAATGTTTCAGTCTGACTCCGGCTTGTACACAAATTGAAGTTTTTTTTCTGATGTTTGGTTTTCTTTTCAGTTCGATGCCCTGGAGGATTAATGAAACCCACTGTCTACGATACAGATGACCTCTTTCGTCTTCATACCTTGAAAAATGTACAGACCGCCAACGCAGCATCAGTTTGTACCGTCGACTCGGTCACATAATCGTCACTTCAGTGTTGCGTCGTGCAAGCAACTGAAAAAGGGGTTGGCTTTCAAGGCACAGTGTTATGTAAGGAAAGTAATGGTGACCAGTTCCAGTCCCAACCCAACTATCCACCTCGTGCAGAGCTTGTGAGCTCCGTTTATAAGGCCCCCCCCGGCCACTACAAACAGCTGATTTCACTCTCCTTGAGCACATAAGTTAATGTTATTCAAGGTTATTGCGTTCCGTAACTTCATTGTACAGTGTACCTTGCGAGCGCATAAGGCACCGCCATACCTGGGGCCATGTAAGCAGACTTGGACGGGTGAAATCCAGGCGGTCTTGATATCACGAAAGCTCACCTGCACCGTCAAAAAGTAAGGAACAATATGTTTGAAACAATCTTTCTTTGAATTCAGCACATCTACGAACCTCCAACGAAGTTGGCCCTGCGAACAGGAGAGTTCACGATTGGTTTGCAAGGCATTCCGTTACGGGGTTCTGTCGCACACTTTAAATGTTTTGCCAGTAACTGATATTTTCTGTTTTCTTTTTTTTTTTTCATAGTTTTAAAGTGGCAAGATGTGAGTGAGTATAGCGCACACCTTAAAGGCCGGTTCTCACATGCAGCGAAGCGCTGATGTAGCGCTCCTCACGTGCCGTCAGCTACTTATCGTCTGCCATGAGCAACAGTATTGACGGTGCAATACAAAACTGGTGAACGTTGCCGTCAGCACGCGCTTAGCGCGAGGTCAGCGCTATGCTTGTAGCGCTCCGCTGCATGTGTGAACAGGCCTTAAGAACGAAAAGCTTAATCCAGTTATTTTTTACTTAAGTACCGGGTATAGCTTGATTACGTTAAGCTAGGGTCATACTGCTTATACATCATACAAAAAACAGTCTGCATACAGATTTGAGGGCAAGTCACCGTGAGATCCATGCTTCGAATGCAGCCTGGCAATGGGTTCAAGGAGAAACTTAGCATGCAACATTCGAACCACAGATATTGCGGTGACATGCGTGTGCAGACTGTCCTTTGTATGATGTATAGGTGGTGTGACCCCGGCCAGCCGTCTTCTGGGTAAAAGCAGAATGTCCCGCCATCACATTGAGAACCCAGCCAGCTGACACGGGGGATTCGCGTCATAGGCTTCTGAAACATGAGCTCTTGAAAGCAGGGCAAAAGGGGCGGGGTGCTTCACATTGGGTGCTTTCGTGCACCACCCGCAAAAGGCTGCTGAAACCCTATAAAAAATTTTCATTTGAACCATTTTTGCTGCTATTTGCACAACCTACAGCTGCACAGTGATGAGGCATAACAATTATGAAGCCAAGCCGTGAGAATAGCGGGGGTGGTCAAGCCAAACCAATCCTGTCTGAGCGACTGAGTGGACGAGAGAGCCCCCAAAAATGGTGCCTTTCCCTTTCCTCCTCTCTCCGAGTTCACAGATGCACCCAGGTATACATGGCTAGCACTGACGTCACATCAGCCGCCATTGCTCCATACCATACGCCTGTTTCTGTACGTTCTGCAGCATACATTTGACACCATCAAATTTGTCTTCTGGGCAAGGCTTGCCGAGAGAAACAAATTGAATGGTGCGAAATGTATGCTGCAAAAGGTACGATGCAGCAATGGCAGCTGGTACGGTGTCATATGACGCCCGTGCAAGGCATGTATACAAAGTCTGCAAACACAGATATGAGACCTGTAAACGTGGGTTAGGCACTGAGAACAAAACTGACACCTGGATATGCATGTTTTCAAGTAATTTGGTGTGAGATACTAGTGTCATCGTACATGCAACCTAATAAATTATGTATATTCTTCTATCCTGGAAAATTTAATACGATCCATGTACTGGCTCGAGCGTACACGGTGGCCGGCTAGCAGTCACACATGCGTAAGGGTTGCAACCTTTCTGCCTAGCCTTGCGCGTTGTCGTGTACGCACCAATCTCTTGTGCAAAGAAATCAGAATTAAAATGTGTCACTACCTCGAAATCTGCCTTCAACAACATGAAATCAAACGGGGCTATACCGATCTCTTTCTGCCCGTTAGAGACTCCGCAACAAATTCTGAAGTTTAATCATATCAAGGCTGGCAGCCTGCTATTTGGGTATTTGTTTTTGATCGGCATGCGAAATGTGCACCACGATTGTTTCTGTACTCATTATATGGCTAACATCAGACTTGATGCTTGTACCCAAAGGTTACATCAAAATGTTTCACATATATCGGAGCATAGCGTCACTTAATAAGCAATCAGAGCAAACTTGCCAAAGGACGCAGTCTGCAGGCGACGTAGGTTCATGTAGCCCTCCTTGGTGTAGCCCACGGTGGAAGAAACGAAATGTTTCTTCCACTGTGGTGTAGCCAGATGATGGGCGCAGCCATGACAGTTTGAATTTATGATGTAGCAGAAAGTTTCGCACATCAACTTTGGTTACTTATTACGTTCGTTATATGTAAACCAAAACAAAATATTTAACTACAATTGTTATTTATTATTTATTATATATTGTTTAATGTTTTAATACATTAACTTAACGTTAACGAACCTAACGACTACGAATGAACAGAAACGAAATCGACAACAAGCAAAATGGCTGCGACCAGTTGACGCTGCGGTGGTGAAGTTATCAGCATTTAACGTTGCTGGATTTAGTTGTAAGCTCTTACACCACTATAATTCGACACGAGATTTCTGAAAAGTCGACACGCTATAAATAAAGCTGTAGCGTGCCCTTCTATTTAATTAGAGCTGAAAATACATTTGGGAGTGAAGTGATTTGAATCTGAGCAGTCGCCCGCTGCAACACAACGGTATGTATTCACGATTCACGAAGATTTCTTGTGCAAGTATCGGAAGATATTCCTTAAAGCATGGCTCACGGGGCATTTTCATCATCTTAAGCGGCCTTGAAAAAGGGAAATAATGGAAGCTACACAAAGGAATGAAACGTTCGGATCGAATAGAATTGTTCGACGGTGCCGAAAGACAAAATTGAACGAGTTGTAATTTACGGAGTGTAGAAGCTTAGCACACGAGCGACGTTGTATTTGTTAACTCTACTAAAGATTTGAGTGATATGGATACCTTTTGCGCGATATAACGTTGCAAGCACGGTTGTGCTTCTTATTTCCTTACAGTTTGCACCTAATTTTCTGAAATTAGAACACCTGACGAAGAGTTTATATTCTACAATTCAAAAGACGATAACATTGAAGATGACATAAATATCGTTTCTTTTAAGCCATTGTTTATGTTATCGTATTTTAAATTGTAAAGCACCGAGGTATTTATGTTTTTCCGGAGTTTACAGAAACACGACAAAGAAGGTCCCAACATTAAAAAGAATGTTTGTGACTCGTAATCTCGAGACTGTCGCTCAGGGCTTCCCTCTCTCTGTTTTCTGCAGTCACATGGAATGATAACACTAAACTCTTCATAAAAGAAAAAAAAAAGATTAAGGTTTTGAGTAGTATTGAGCTGTTGGGCACCAGGGCATTGAATGGAAAAGAAAACTGAACATCAGAAAAAAACTTTTATTTGTGTGCAAACCGGAATCACACCGAAACATTATAATTTTTTTTTGCATTCTGGAGTGAAACCGAAAAATAATCTTTGAGGTTTCCAGTTCAAGGTGAAACATACAGAAGTTTGACGAATTTCGAACTTCTGAACAGAAATTTGACGAAGTGTGAAGAAACTTTAACCAAATCGTATAAGGTCTTAAATATTATTAACACAAAGATGTGGTGGTGCTACCAACGACTCGCTTGTGGTGGCGGCTGGCCTCGTACCTGAAAGTCGTACCGTGTAAAACTGCGTAGGTTGCCCCAAAGTAACCTTTAGGTCCCTTGTCTGCAGGTTTGAAATCCGACAAAGGCACTTTACTGGGGCGTTGTTCATAAGCTTGCTTAGGAGAAGAGTGTGTTGGTTCAAGTCATGCATGAAGAAAGAATAAAACAATTAAAACAGGGACAACACAACCGCATCTTTCAACTAGCAACAGATGAGTAAAATTTCCACAGCAAGCAGTCGACTATACCCAGGAGGGAAAGGGGGGAGAAGGGGAGATAAAAAACGCGAAGTGCAAATCAGAGAGGTGGGTTTTTCTCGAATTTCAGAAATTGAACCTCAGTTTTCGTCAGCAGGAGGGAAGGGTTTGACACATTGTTTTTTGCTCTGGTCATGGCAAATGACTCTATGATCTCCCTGCTGCTGTAACATGTCAAACCCTTCCCTCCTGCTGACGAAAACTGAGGTTCAATTTCTAAAATCCGAGACAAACCCACCTCTCTGATTTCCACTTTGCGTTTTTTATCTCCCCTTCTCCCCCCTTTCCCTCCTGGGTATAGTCGGCTGCTCGCTGTGGAAAGTTTACTCATCTGTTGTGTGGTTGTGTTGTCCCTGTTTTAATTGTTTTATTCTTCATCCATGGTTGTTCATAACCCTGGCTGTTTTTGAATGCAAGTTGCCCAATCTCCTCGTGTTAGTGGCTGGTTGGGGAAAGGTGCGCACTGAAAGAGACACCGATTCGTGAGAGGCAACACTGGATAGGCACTTGATCCATTATCGTCAGTATCCAGTTGCATTTTAAAAGCGACTAATATCTCCACTTGTTTTCTTATTTTTCTAAGAAGGAAAGCGCGAAGAACCAGCTATGCAAAATTAAATCTGGGAGTTTTACGAGCCAAGCAGACGACGGGCATTCGGAACACCTCAGCAGACGAGTAAGGATTAATTGGGACCACCTGGGGATCATTTGACGTGCAACAGAAAGCTTGATTGCACGACCTTCTCGGCAATAAGCCTTTGTCAAATTGTGGGCACCTGGGCTGGGATTAAAACCTGCCACCTGGGGTCTGTAGGCCGGTGCCTTTCCTTGGAGCCACTGAGGTGCCAAAGAAACCGGCAGTGTAGTGAACCTGATGCACGACCGGTCATTACCTGATCAGCTGTATCTTGGGGGGCCGGGGGACCTGCGAGCTTGTCTGGTTGCATGCTCCTTGGCCTTGAGCTCTGTCGGGTGCTGTACGTGCATGCAGTGTTTTCTCTGCCCCACGGGCTATCCCACTGGAAATAAACGCCCAGAGCAACTACAAACTTTCGCGAAGCAAGATGTCTTGCTTTGGCGACATTGTCTGCACGCATCATCTTGCATATTTCGTTGTCTCATGCCAGCATCTCATTTAGGGGTATTCAATCGCATTGCTTCCAGTTTGCAAAGAGGTAGCAGTTCCTGATGCACACTAGACCGCCTCAAGGCTTGTCGCTGAACCATCCAATTCAAGGCTTGTTTCATAAATCATGATAAATAACGAGAAGTATCCTAAGAACCCGGTACCGAGAAGAAAGTAGTGTTTATGGCACAAGATAAAATGTGCAGCGTTTTTAGTCAACTTTGTAGCACTTCCACGTTTTTTCCGGATGAGCCCTTAAAAACTTTATTTTAAATTGTGGTATTTGATCTTGTACCTTGAAATTCGAAAACCTAAATTAGAATTTTTCGAACATAAATAGCAAAGAAATTCGAAATTTTCAAACTTTTCATACTCAATGTGTAAAGAGAGTTGAAATCTTTAAACTTGAACTTTCAGAAACTTGACATTATCAAAATTTTCAAATTCAAAACACAGCAGGGTTTGAAATTTGCAAACTTTTCAAATTCAAACCTTACCTCCTCCAACCTCAGCAGGTTTGTGACATCCCTAGTTATGATTTTATCTAGTCAGCTAGTTGGGCTGAATGGATCTAGAAGTTGCGACAATAGTTTTTCCGTCTGCTGCTAAGTTTCCGACGTCTGAAAATAGCTAATGACACAGCACCGTCTGAAACCACCATGCTGCAGTGACGTTATTGAGTAGCGATCGTCGCTCAGAATAAAGCAGTGGGGAGCATGCTTGCCTGGACAGCAAATTCGCATGTCTAGACATTGTACAGTCAGCACAGAATGAAACCCGAATGCCGGAATGCGTGGCCATCGTCACAGGCTGCTCCGCTGGAGGGCCCCTGAGAACTAATGAAAATGTGCCTTGGAGCGAGGGTGCAGGTCCTACTAAGATGTGCTCGACCCTCGCGCGGCGTATCTGAGACTTTCCCGTTTCGCCGGTGGTCGAGGGTCAAGCACAGCTTAGTAGGACACGCACCCTGGCACCTCGGTGCATTTTCATTAGTTCTCAGGGGCCCTCCAAGTGGAGCAGCCTGTGTCGATGGCCACGTGTTGCGGCGTTCGGGTTTCATTCCGTGCTGACTGTACATACGCTCAGATGGCGTCATAAATTATACATCTGTCGTATTTTCTACATCCGGCCCGCACTCATTGTTATACATTTCTAAATGGTGTTTTTCGTGCAAATTCACCCCTGTGAGAGGTTCATTCTCTGGTCTTAGACAACTGAAGGAAGTTCTGTGTCTTACTCGCTTTGTGCTGCTGGGTAGCCTTTGACAAAGAAATGCTATAGCACAGCTAGGTGTATAGTGCTTTATTATAGACAATCAGGAGAGCAACCAGAATTTGTGTCACCTCACTTAGACATGGTACAGGCTGTAACGTGTGGGTTTGCTTTACAGAATTGTTATGCTCTAAAAAAAAAGAAAAAGAACCTCAGATTATGCCTGTAGTCTCCTTGTGACTGCCGACATAAAAACATGGTTTGCCTTTGGCATGCAAACTATAGAGACGGTGTAGGTAGATTGTCGTATTCGTCTGAACTTGCAAGTATGCACACATCACGTCTTGGTCAACGCAGGGCTAGGGAAGAGAGGTCAGATACACAGCCCTGCAAAGACAATGTTGCATTGCTTTCATTTTTTTTTTTTTTTTAGTCTCCATGTGTAGAATTGTGTGGCATGTGGACTGGCTTGTCTGACTGTTCAATTTTTTGGCTAATGTATTTATACTCTTGTCATACCAGCTGCCATGGCGATGGCCTACTCTCTGACGGGAATATGCACATCTGAAAGAGACCTGGCCCGACGAGCATCACAGCTACAACATTGCTGCCATAGTACAACTAGATACAAGAGTTAACGGCTTATTCAAGTGACCAAGTGGTGACAAGGGAATCTCGTGGCCACCTTCAGCAGGTAGGTTTGTCAACAAGGTGGCAGATTTCACTCTTTGTTCAATTCTTATGGTGCTGTCACTGCCGTTCAATGAAATGGAATGAGGAAAGAGGTACTGTAAAAGCCTTGAATCAATGTTTTTCCAGCACTCAATTTTGATGAACCTAAATAATGGGGACATCAAGCGGCACACAAAAATTCCAAACAATATTTTTTACAAAACCATGCTGCTAGTTGCGAATTAGTTTTCTCAACTTAATGTGCGGGTTATTGCAGAACCACCATGCACTTTAACAGATATTAAACACAAGCATGATGTTGTACTGCTTTGTCATTTAATGGCATCACATATCGCCATCCCACACCTTCGTTTCGGGTGCTGCGTGTGTGTCGTCATGGATAAAGGTTTTATGGCTATTTAGTTCCATTGTAGCTCATGAGGGAATTAAATGTATCTCATTTCCTTCCAGTGGGACCACTGTGAATCGTGTCGGAGAAAAAAGTGAAAGCCGTTTACCACTCCCTGTAACGCCGAATTGGAGCGCAGCTCTTGAGGAGGAGGAGGGAAGTGTACTGAGGGCCACGGTTTCTCGGGGGTCACGTGACATAGGGGAAAGGGTCACACATGACCCCCCCCCCCCCGAGGGCACGTGACCTTGTTGGGGTCACGTGACCTCAGGGGAGGGGGTCCTCGTGGAGGGAGAGTCACGTGCCCCCCGAGGTCACGTGACCTCGGAAGGGGGTCACGTGACCTCGGGGAGGGGTCACGTGACCCCCCAGGTCACATGACCAGTATTTCCCTGCTAGATCTAGCGGAGAAATTTTTTCCGCTAGATTTAGCGGGGAAAATTTTCCGCTAGATCTAGCGGGGAAGTTTTTCCGCTAGATTTAGTGGGGAAATTTTTCCGCTAGATTTAGCGGGGAAATTTTTCCGCTAGATTTAGCAGGGAAGTTTTTCCGCTAGATTTAGCGGGGAAATTTTTCCGCTAGATTTAGCGGGGAAATTTTTCCGCTAGATTTAGCGGTGAAATTTTTCCCCTGGATTTAGCGGAGAAATTTTTTCCGCTAGATTTAGCGGGAAAAATTTCCACGCTAAATTTAGCGGAAAAATTTCCCCGCTAAATTTAGCGGAAAAGCTTCCCCGCTAAATCTAGCGGGTTTTTCCGCTAGATTTAGCGGGGGTTTTCCCGCTAAATTAAGCGGGGAAATTTTTCCGCTAGATTTAGCGGGGAAAATTTTCCGCTAGATTTAGGGGGGAAATTTTTCCGCTAGATTTAGCGGGGAAATTTTTTCCGCTAGATTTAGCGGGGAAAATTTTCCGCTAGATCTAGCGGGGAAGTTTTTCCGCTAGATTTAGCGGGAAAATTTTTCTGCTAGATTTAGCGGGGAAATTTACCCATAATGCACCGCGCGGTTACGCCGACGGCGACGCCGCTCAAACCGGGAACGGGCGCCTAAGAGCTGCGCTTTAAAATGAGATGGTCTGGCTCCTTCCTGGGTTATGGCAGAGCTAAATCGCCACAAACCTAGACGACACGGGTTCTGACCTGGCCTATGTACAGTCGCACAACTGGTATACTCCGTTCACCCCTAAGCTGACGGTGCATAGGAAGCTACGTGCTTGCTGGACCAGTTGTACGCCCATCATTTGCCATCTGATCACATTGCCCCGCCTACATCCATGCGCCAGGAGCAGGGTCCAGTGACGAGTGGAAGGCGGTCGATAGGTCCAGTGAATGTGTAGCTCCCACCGCACTGTCAGCTTGGTAGTGAACAGACCATAGGAAACAGCTCATTGCATTAGTACTAAATGACAGAGCAGGTTTATATGGTTTGTAGGCCTATATGAGGCCTCTTATTGAGTGCCACATTGGAGACCTGTGGCCACAATCAAAACATTTAAGATGGAACCAGTAATAACTAACTGGATTGATTCCCACCTAACAAATTGAAGCCAAAGTGTGGAAAGCAGCGGTAATGTTGCGAACCCTCTGCCAGCATATTCGGCTGTAGCTCACAGTTCTGTTTTGGGGTCAGTCTTGACATATATAAATGACGTACTACACAGCATACCCCCAGAATCACAGGTCAGGCTCTGGGGATGAATGTATTATTTACTCACTGATGAGCACTTTGGATAAGCAAGCATAATTAAATAGGTATGCTAACCACATAAAGGAATTGTGTCTAATATTTTCAAGGTGTCAAAGTCTATCATATAGACTAACCGGATTTTTATTTAGCTAAGTTTACTGCAAGGTAAATATCACATCAGCATTCACCAAGTTCCCTTTCCTTTCACATATATATATTTTTTTCTAATTCATGCTTTGTTCATCTTTTCACTCTGGAATAGTGCTTTACCCTTAAAGCGATAGTGAACAGAAATTTCGAGCTCACAAAACGAGGCTGGACGGATAGGCGGGACGCTGCAAAACCCCAAAACAACACTCATACAGCGATATCGCTATCGGATCGCTGTATTTTTGGAAAAGAAGTGCATGAGTGAACATGGTTGACGAGACAAGTCTCATCACGATTCCCATTCCCTTTCTCGCTACATCCCTTCGAGCTAGTGAACCGAAGCAAGGAGGAGAGAAGCGAGGCTGCTTCCCCTCATTCTGAAATTCTGCTGGAGGACAATGATGTCAAAGGCCTCGCTCGATCACGCCCTTCTTTTCCAAAAGTGTGGCCATCCGGTTGAGATATTGATGCACGAGTCATGTCTTGAAGTTCCAAGCGTCTTGTTCAACGCTAATGCATCCTTATTTTGCAAAATCCAAATTTCGGTTCAATATTCCTTTAATTAGCCACTAAAGCGTGTTTTGAGAGTCTTGTTCTATGGTCATACCTCAATCTACTAGCTCTTATCATACTAAACAACCAGAAATTACATTCATCCGCGGCCGATTTGTATCTTAAATAAGTGATGGTTCCAGACACTTACCATCGTCGCAGAATGACAGATGGCGCTACCGAACCTGGCTGAATATGGTCGAACAACGGACACCGCATGGCAGCCACTCACGAGTGATGGGTTCTTGCGTGGACAAGCACGACTGGTCGGCAGCTCGTCCACGGTGGACCCAATCGCTCACGAGTGGCCGACACGTGACGTCCGTTGTTTGACCGTATTCACCAAGGTTCGGTAGCGCCATCTGTCATTCTGCGCTGACGCTAAGTTTCGAGAATTTTGATCAATTGTTTTAGTATGCAAATTGGCCGCAGATGAATGTAATTTTTGTTTTCTTAGGATGGTTAGTGCTCGTAGATTGAGTTATAACAATAAAACAAGGATCTCAAGAAGCACTATAGTGCCCCTTTAACACAAGGCTGCGCTGCGGCAAAGCGACATATGCAGAATTGCAATGCCTACTTTACGGGTGTAGCTTCTCGGCAGTGCACCAGTGCGTGGTGTGAGAAGCGCATTCAATGAAGATAGACTGCTGAACATACCACTTACATCGAGAGATATCACGAAACATCCGAGTACTGAGTCATGTTCGGTATGTAAATCTAATCAAATCACACGTTATTCTAAGCGATAACCGGAAGTTCTGAACGATTCGCACAATGTTACAGGAACAATCTGGCAGTACTGCGACGCCTGAACTATTAGTTTTGGCAGTTATAAACGGAAACTCCCTTATGATGCAATGTAGGCATAAATTCATCACATTTTGGTGAAATGTAGCAGGGTAAGCACTTTGGCGGAGCATACACATCAATGCTTTTCGCCTTGGAAGGCATTCTTGCTCATTCCGATCCAAATTTCCCATCTGCAACTTTCTTGCTAAGGTAGCATGCAGCAGGACTTCAAGGGATAACTTGCTGGTTGGGAAGTAACTTTATGGCTAACTTAAAAGACCGCTGAAAAGAAAAAAAAAAGTTTTTTTTAAACAGTCTAGTGGGACACATGTGCTAAAAAAAAGTTCATGAAAAAAAAAAAAAGTTTTTCTAGAGCAATATTGATTGCGAGATTTAATTGAAATTGTGCGCGAAATCCATGACGTCACGGGTCATTCCAAAGTGACCATCTTGGTCGTGAAGGCGAAGGCGATCTACCTCTGCTCCACGCGCCTGAAATGCCGAATAAGAAAACAAGCGGTAAGGGACGTGACTGCCAACTAAATCGCGTCTTGCGCCGTCAATATTGCTCAAAAAAATTTTTTCCTGACGTGAATTTCTTTTTTTGAACACCCAGAACACTATAGTTGGGACACCAACTATAGTGTCCCAACTATAGTTGGTGACAGGTCAAGAACGAAGTGGAATCTCCTCCCACCCCTTTCCACTTCAGCGGGGCAAACGGTGGAGAGGAGTTCGCCTCCTCTCCAGAGTTCGCACTGCTAAAGTGGAAAGAGGTAGGACGAGCTTACACTTCATTCTTGACCTGTCACCAACCATAGATTGTTAAAAAAAAAACTTTTTTTTTTTCAGGGGCCCTTTAAAAGGGCGAGTCTCCGACTCCCACTTAATGGATTGATCAGGACACAACCAGAACAAGCATAGCGACTTACAATCTGTCTTGACTACAGCATGTTTCATACCTCCATGTTTGAATTTCCTTTTCTGCACATTGGTTCAAGAGTGGCTTGGATTGACTGCTTGGTCTTTCTTTCCCCATCAGGCTGGTAGTCTACTGTACTTCAAGCATCTGCAATGCTACACAGTAGAGGGAACGTGCCAAAGGCCTGGTTGATGGGCAAAATCAAGCTGCACCATCCGGTTCTACGCAATCGACCTCTGGAAAGCAAATGTCTGCATGATCAAGTGTGGTTTCTTGGCAGATGATCGCCTGCGACACTGGTGTTCATCAACATATGTTGTGAATGTCTCGAGAAATATTTCTTGGATGCGAGACCTTGAACCGCACCTGGACCTCTGACGTAGCTTGTGCATGCTCTTTTGATTACCTTCTGAAGACTGTGCCTAAAAGAACTGCTGGAGAATGGCGGTTGAGATGAAGGCGTTACAAGATGGGTCATAGGAGCTGCCGTGTACTGGTGCAGATTGTATTGATCCCGGTGTGGCTCGTTCTAGAAGTTTAAGACCAAGCAGAGGGGGGAAAATGGTGCTTTGGTCGCAATGGGGGGTCCCAACTTGGAGTTCCTCGAATCTCCCTCGACTGACTTGCTAGTGAGTTGCATGCAGCAGAACAGGCATCTGCGGTGCCCACCTTCCACTGCTGTAACACTTCCAGGATTGAGACCAGGGGTTCATCCATGATTGTCAATCTGGGAGGGTGTTGCTAATTCTGGGAAAGGCCTCCCAAGGGATAGATTTGCGTACTTTGAGAAGAAAATTCTTATAGCGTCGTCCCACTAGAGCAGGGGTGGCCGAGCTGCGGCTCGCAACTTCGCGTGTTAAAGTGCAGCTCGCGGTCCCCCCCCCCCTCCTCCCCCTCCCCCTTGCCCTCCTCCCTCCCTATCACACGAGCACTTCCCCAAAAAAAGAAATGGAACACGTTTTAAGTCGAAAGACAGGTTGCAGTTTGGTAGTCTTGTGCTGCTGCTACCTTACGACCAGTTGGAGTGCTTTTGACTCGGATAGATTGAAAGTAGTTCGAGTTTCGTTAATTGCTCTAGACAAAAGCCCCCCCCCCCCCCCCGCGGCTCTTGAAAGTTTCGTAGTTTTGTTTGTAGCTCTTAGGCCGGGTCAGCCTGGCCACCCCTGCACTAGAGCGACAAACACTGATTTTTGTCCAGCAACACCACAAAGGTTTGTGTTGCTGATGCTGTTCCACTGCAATGACCAGCACCCGCAACAAACGCCGACAAACCATCGACGACGTACGAGTTGTTGTCTGTCGTTGAAGTTGAAGCGCAGCAAGCAGTCCTACCGAGGAACATCACTTGGGGACAAACTTAATTTTCTCGCCCGCTTGTGCCTTCTGTTGCTGTCTTCCTCACCCTCCTCCTACCCTTCCTCCCATGACTCAGTCCTTGGCGGCCACTGATCGTTCCCGCTCCCGCAGTTCCGATTCCTCGATTGCTCGTAGTAGTCGCGGGTGCGGCTTGCTTGCTAGATGTCGTGTTGCAAAAGGGAATTCGTTGTGGCTGGTTTTGCTCACGAAAACTTGGTGCGCTAGTTGGTGCTTCAAGATGCCGAAGTCTACGCCCCTGCATCAGGATGGATCCACCCATGTGCGAGGACTGACCAAAGACCGCTCACCACGAAGTAGGACACGACATTCCGCCAGTTCTGCGGCAAGCCATTCCGGCAAATTGAGAGACTTGTCATCCATTCTGTGATTGTCCCCCGTAAAACGCCTGCCATTCGGTCATTCGGATATGAAATTAAAAACGTCATCAAATCGACGTGAAAAGCCGTCACGCTCACCTGGAATGCTTTGAACAACCCAAAAAAAGGAACGATTCAGGAATTCTAGTTCGGAAAAAGTTGGGTGTCGATTGTCACGACTGTTTTCGGAAAGTCGCCAACGGCAAATGAAGACAAGCGGAAGCTTTAAACAAGGAATAAAGTAATCGTCTCCATTTTCACCGTGTTTGTCAGCGAGTTTGACGCCCAAAGAGCAAAACAAGAAAATCGCGTCGCCATACTCTGTTTGTCTCTGTATTTTGAAGTGTTTTGTTGACACCAGGAAACAAGTTTCCTTGTCCCCGTGTTCTTTGTCGTGTCTGCCAGGTGGGACAGCAGACTCCGACAAACAGGCTGTTTGTCGGTGTCGTATGTCGCTCATTGTCGTCTGTCGCTCTAGTGGGATGCGGCTACTAGGGACTCGACCTGGGGCATGTTAGGGGTGTGTGCGTATAAGTCGCTGGTCGTAAGAACCAGCAGCATTGCATTCGTTGTGCTCAGTGTTGTGGATCTTGTGTGGATCTGCCTGTAATTTATGGGGCCTTTAGAACTTCAGCATTACACAGTGATGACATCAGCAGCTGGAAATTGATGGGACCGAAATAAAGATGACAAAACTAGACTGTAGCTGGAGTCTATCACTAGCATGGAGAAGCTATCAATAGCATGGACTTCAGATTCACACAAGAATGTCCCGTGGGTAACAGGATTTGATGCACAAGTAATTCTGAAGATGGCATTAATGCTTCTGTTCTAATTCCCATGGACCTCCACAGGCTGAAAGGGAAGGTGACATTCCAGGTAACTGAACAGGTCACATACCTATGTATCAAGTGCAGAGAAGGGAACAGTGAACAAAAAGGCACCAGGAAAAGGTCCCTATCTATTGAAACCGAGTTCTGTATGGGTTTTTATTCTCTGCTCCTTGGGGTTAAAAAGACATATTGGAGCAGTCCTAGCTCACCTCCAGTGCTGATCAAAATAACACGACGTGAAATCATGATAGGCGTAAGAAACAAACAGCTTGAAACCAATTCGCGTCCTTTTAATTTCACAAAACTTGGTATGCGCCAAATAGCCTAAAACCGGTACAAATCAAAGCAGTCTGTGCAATAAAACGTGAAAATACGGCAGAAAAAGTAAACATTTGCGGGGCGTAAAACCGCGGAAGTAAATCCGTTCATGGCAATCTTGTTCAGCACAAACAAGTGTTCATTCAACTGTGAAGCATTGAAATGGATATAAAATCTGCATAGCGTTTCAGAGCAAGAAAAACAGCGAATTAATTGAGCAGTACGATTGACAACATTGCGGGCGCTACGCGGGCGCGTAGGAAGGCGACAAGGCTTACTTTGATAAGAGCCACACGGAAAACGTTGACACCAGCCACACGCTGTGCAGGGCTATCGTTCTCGCTTCTTGAATTACGGTTGAAAAGCACTGCGCATTAGCACTGCAAGCACTCCACGTGTACACGGTTTCAATTGGGTCCATATCACAAGAGCGAATGACATTTTAGCGAACGGCGACATTTGAGCGAATGATCGTTTTAGCGAATAACGGGGGCGCGCGTTAACCCATCCGTCGCGCTGCGCTTTAAGGCACGACCACATTGGCGTCGCGGAGGCCTGCGGCGCGGCGGTCGGCGCTGCCGTTTGCCGACCGAAACCAGTTTTCGGCTTCAACGGCGCGACGTACGGCGCCGCAGAGTCAACCGCTCCGTGCGCGGTTCAAAGCCGGGCGCCGCACGCCGCAGAAGAGAGGAGCCAATGGGAAGTGGCGTAGATAGTGACGTCGCGATGCCATGGCAACGCTCAAGCCGGTCCTCGGCTCGTCTTTCACGTTCCGAAGGACGTGTTTCGCGTCGTCTGCTCTTCCTATTTTCCCCCGATGCCTTCCCCAACGGAGCGGTTCCTTGAAACTGTGCGGCTGTTTCCCTTTTTATATGACAAGACGCGGCCAGACTACCTAGATAAGGACGCTAAGAACAACCGCTGGGAAATTATAGGAGAGGAATTCGGAATTACAAGTGAGTTTCTCCGTGGCACTTGTTGCATGTCGTCTGTGTTGTGACGGATGTCGTGTTGATTCGGTGACACTTTCGAAAGTAGCCTTCATCTCTGGCGCGCCGCCGGGGCAGCAAAGCCCCGGCGGCGCGCCAGACCTGTCCTGTCCCGCGGTGTTTCGGTAGAACCAACTCGGCCGGACCCAAAACCTGCGCCTCCTTCCCTTCAGAGCGCGGCGACGTCGCAAGATCAACGAACAGGCTAGGATAATCACATTCACGCTGATCACCAGGTCATTATGGATTCCTACCATGTGTGGCAGCGAGTGCGGAACGGAAGAATGTAACGAAGAGCAGACGACGAAAGAGCGGGAAATCCGACGGGTGGCGCGATCGCGGGAACCAGTGCTGTCACGTGACGCCTGCAAAACGGAGGCCAATGTAAACTCCTCGCGTTGGGACGCCGGACGGCGGTGCCGCCCGGCGGCGCCGCCCGGTGGCGCCGTTCACGCTAGTGTGGTCGGGCCTTTACGCCGCTTCGCGGCGACCAGGGGGGTAAAGGTGGGTGAGGAGGAGTGGCAAATCCCGTGCGCCGACATCCTGGGTCCCGAGTGAACGATCGCAAAAGAGAGCGACAGAACACGAGAGAAAGAAAGCAACGTTGCCATGGTAAACACGGAGAGTGAAAACTCTCAGCAATATAAACAGTGATAATTTAACGTTGTAAACTAAATTCTGAGCTATTCTAACGCTTATAAAAAGCAATAAACTCATTACGCTGCATTAACTTCCCTTCTGTCGAAATCTCGGAAATCTGGTGGTTACGCAGTTTCGTATTCCTCAACCGCGCCCAGCCGCGCCCCACCAGCGAAGCCGGGTATATGGTTTAGTTTAGCGTTAACGCGAGGCCGTACATCTGCGCGCTATGCAAAAAGAAACCTTCGAAAAGAACGCGAGTATCTTTCCACCGGTAAGTTCGTGGATTGTTGAAGTTCACGAAACTGCTCTGATGATGTAACCGTGTTTGGGACCCAGAGGGTCTGCCTGCATGGTGCGCCGCTTGCGGCAGCCAGAATGTATGGGAAAATGGCGGACCTTTTCCTCTAGATTTAGTATATGATCTCTATGGCGGCGACAGTCTGCGGCAACTCATTACAAAAATATGAACTCATTTGGCCCACCCGAAAACGCCGCTTCGCGGCGTCCGACTATTCGCTAAAGTGTCATTCGATGAAACGTGGGCGTTCGCTAAAACGTCATTCGATCAAGTGAGTGCCTCCCGTTTCAATTACGGAACAGAGCAGCGAGGCCTACTTCATTCGAGCTTGGGTAAAGAATCGCCGAGGTTGGAGCAGTCGAACTGTGGACATCGGCATGCTCGAAACTTCTGCTACCGACTTTTATGCGCGTGATATGCGGAATAACTCAATGGATATGCACTGGCAGACGAAACAACACGTATTCTACACAACAGCGTGTCCACCAAGTCACCACAACACCAAAGTATCCGCCGGAGTGTAGCAGACGCTCCTGCCGGCGACCGGCGCCGTATGTGCGTCGCCGTCAATATTTTTTGCGGCGGTAATCTGGCCAATCAGAGCACACCGCTCCGCGGCAGATCTGGAAGGGCCAGGTTTTGGAAATACGCGCCCGGGCGACTAACGTCTTCGTCGCCTTCTACGCTAAAAGTCGGCACCCTTTGGACCGCCGTCAGCACCTCTTTCCATTTGTCAGTCCACTTTCTATTTTTATTTTTGAGGAGCAGCCTCGATGGTGTTCGACAACGCGTTCTTTCTTCCTCCTGCTTTTTTTTTTTTTTTTTTTTTTTTTTTTTAAAATTTGTATTGTATGTATGTTTTTGTTTACTTGACGTTCGGACCATCGCGGATTTTGTTTTGCCTTGTTTGGACCCAGTTTTTGCTCTCTTCACTTCGGCGTTTACTACCGCCAGTCCGTCTGCTACGCTGTTCCCGGACATTTTGAGGGCCGTCTGCAACTTTGTTGTTGTTTTCTTCTACTGTCGTCTGCAATGACCTCCTATTTTCACCTTCGATTGAGTTTCTAATCCGAAATCTTCATACGTGCTTTTTGGTATTTATTAAATATATTAAAAAGTGCAAGCTCGTTGTACATTTATATTCGAATTTTATTTGTCTACGCCGGAACGTCTGCTATGGGTCATCGTTTGTTGATCAACCGGCCGCCTTCGGGCATACACCAGCGCATACTTGGAGATGGCAGGCATGTCATTTGTCGATGTGTTATTTAGAAAATCCTTCTTCCGCTTCCCGAAGCCCGAATAAACGTGAGTAATTAAGGTGCTGCAACATTAAAAAAAAGCTAAAACAAACCACTAAAAAAAAAAAAAAGAAAGAGCTCTTCTTTTATGCTGCTGCTTTCTATTTTTTTTTTTTTTTTTTCCCTAAGCGCCGCAATGATCGTCGTCGTTAAAGGAGTTTCTTTGATGGGTGATTTGTATCTTTCTATTGTCTGCTAACGTTTTGTTTTATTCGCCGTTGCTACTTGTTCCCCATTTCTCTTTATTTTCGCCTGTGGAGGGGACCCCATCTTTCCTGCAAAGTTTGGAAAGCGTTTGCACGGTCATTTTCTCGTTACTTTTTTTTGTTTTTGTCCTGCTGCAGCGGCTGGTTCGCTTACTCTGTTGTTTGCGCACGTTTTTATGATCACCTATTTAGGTAAGAAACTGTGACAGCACAGTCTGTAACGGATCAACAGTAACCTCTTACGACGTAGTTCGAGTAGCTAAACGCCTTTCTTCCGCTTCCCAGATGCGCTCCAAACGTGTGATTCCCTGAGTAGCGTTTGAGACCGCTAAAGAAACTGTTCTATCGTTGTTTATGCGCGCGTTGTTATTTGATTGTCATTGCAGTTCCGATCAGTGGATTCCGCTTCGCAAGCGGACTGACCGTAATGAATTGTTCAGCTGTTAGGGTGACGAAACGGGGATCGCAAAGCGTCTGCTTACGTAGACTCCGAGTCCTCTAGAGGCGTTCGCCGCCGCGCTCCCGTGGGTTTTCGGAGGAACTACGCCGCATTTACTGGCCACCACAGCTAAGTGCGCGACTGCTTAGCGCGAGCTAATAGCGAGCTACCACAGTTCACTTGCAACGTGCATGCGACACCATTAAGATTGCCGGTCTTAGCGATGCGAGCTGGTTTTGAGCACGACCACTGACGCAGGCGATGGAGCAGACGATGGTGCTCATCCGGGCTACCTAGGGGGCGCTGAGGGGATCTACTAGTGATGACGTTTAGAGGAGGAAACGCGCAGGCCTTGTGTTCTAGGTGGTATTAGCTATACCCGTATGGTATTTGGTAAGCGACAAATATAATAACTCATGAGTTACAAGGCTCTGAAGTTGTCACCGCATTGTCTCGTGGGAGCGATTTCGATCACTTTTAGAGAAGATACAACAAAAAAAGGGGGAAATCGCATCAAGCCAATTGAAAGTTCATATGATCGGCAGCAATAATAAAAAAAATTGAACGAAATGAAAAATGGCCTTTTTTGATAAAGTGAGTTCAAAATATCGGTCAATTTCATTTTCGACGATATTTCAAATTTATATAAAAAAAATCAGTGAAAATAAAATAAACTAAACTTCTGCCCGTCGATAGCCCATGTATAGGGCTACACCCGCATAGTATTTAATAAGTGACAAATATAATAACTCATGAGTTACAAGGCCCTGAAGATGTCACCGGATTGTCAAAGAGACGATGTTTGGCATTTTATACCTCAATAAACAAAACTACAAAAGTATTTTCTTTTGAACTAAAAATAGTCCAAATAACATACAAGAGCAAAAAAAATTACTGCGAGTTTTGTATGCTTCCCGTATTCATACCAGCATACAGAACTGGGTAGAAAAATCACGGAGTAAAAAACAGATTTTCACCCTGCTCCACTCAACAATTTTTTGTGAAGCGAAATACTTTTTTTTTAATTTTGGAAAGCGGTTTTGTTCTTTCCAGAAATGGGGCATATATATATATATATATATTTTTTTTTTTAAATCAAAAGACCCACCCCGACAAGCGTGTTTGATTTCAAATGAAACCACCCTATTAGAAAGGGGTAGTGGGATCAGGCACAGACGAGGGTCGAGGTTGAAAGGTCCTGGATGTAAGCGGCGGCGCTGCGGTCGAGTATCCGACCGGTTCCGAAGGCCTCCGGCTGCTTCGGCGAGCAGGTTTGGCGGTATGGCAGCGTGAAGTGGCTCTCGTTCTGACTGATCTTTACCCCGTGTTTGCTGTCGTTTCTGGCCAATGAAGTGTCATGCCGAATTAGTGTTTAATCACACAGCAAATGAAATGCGAGCCGCCCTGGCCGCCTGCTTCATACAGCCTATCCAGCACATGCTTTGTGGCGCCCTTTCGAGCCGTTGTCACGGAGTGCGGCAGCCGTGAGGGCTCGCCGAGCTCACTACCAGTCCCCTAGTTCACGGGCACTCAAGCGACCAAGGACTTCATGAAGGTTTCCTTTTTTGCTTGTTTTTGTAATTTTAATTCACCCATAACTTTTACAATAAAGCAAAATTCGAGAAAAGTTCCATTAAGTTACTACGTACAGTGCACTCAGGTTCGGTGCAAATTAAAAACCAGTAAAAAAGACCGTGCAGGGCCCCTTTAAGTGACTTCAGCGAGTTTTTCAATGGAATAGTTTTTCGTTATACAACCTTTGACAGTGCGCCGTCAATAGCTCTGTCAGATAAATTTTTTTTTTTTTTTTTTTTTTTTTTTGCAAGCGGTGTGCATACCGTTTCAGTTCCGAAGATGGTGTGCTGCCTGATAGATGAGTGTTTGTTTATGTAATCAACTTCGGCTACGCTTTTTTTTTGTTTTACAAATAAAACTTTAGTTGCGAGAACAGCTTCGCCCTGTAGTGTTTGTTGTCTTCACTCATTCTTCGTCGTTTGTGGCGTTTCCATCATGCATAACATTTACCAACTCGCCCAATTTGCTACCTTAGTACAGAAGACTAGTTCTTATATGGGTCACGAGTAACAACTTTGACAGTGGGCAGCTCTGAAGGTGATGGGTGGTTCACTGTAAAAGGGCACTATCACACAAAGGCAACGTGTGAAAAAACCAGCATGAACGGCTAGTCACAACATGTTAACAGCACAGGACTGGCCCATAGCGTTGGCAGCTGTTGATCGTTAGGGGAAGCAGAGCATAATTGGGAGCATAACAAGCCCAAGACAACCAAGTTGGAAAGAAGTGGCGGGCCCCAGAGAATCTATTCACGGGTTGCATGCGGGCCATGGGCCAGTGTTTGCTTGGCCCCACTCATACAAGCTCAGGTAAAGCATACCATTCTCACATACCAATGCTTTCATAAACTTAAAATTATATAAATTAGATTGCTGATTTAATAAGCATCCCCCCCCCCAGAAAAAAAGGGATGAAATGGCTACTGCAAGTAGATTTTGTTTAGAATGCTTATAAGGTTCTGAATCCTAGAATCATTTTTACGGAATGACGAAAATTCGGCACTTGGGGCTAGAGTCAATTCTACCACGATGCTAGTAGTGGTGGCTGTTTCACGAGTTTCATGTCGCACGCAACAGTCGACACTGATTGGGTTTGCCCTCTCCTTAAGTTTAGCAACAAACAAGCAATGGGAATGGCCATGGCGTGGTAGGGTGGCATCCTTTGCAACACCACATCATCTGGTGTCACTGTAAAGTGAAGCCCCCCCTTTCCCAACCGCAAGGAAAAAAAAAAGGTTCACCTTTAAAGAGAAGCAGAAATAATAAAATCTTCCAGCAAAGAGGGCATCATTTCACATGTCTGCTAGGGTGCAAGAACTTCAAGGTAAGTCCCGGCTGGCTTTCGCAGTTCCCTGACTAAGTAGCACAGACAATGGCATTAGAAAGAACCTGAACTCTAAGCTCTCGAGGGAATGAAAGGAATGACAGTATTTTTTCGGTCTCTCAAAAGCTCGAAGTTGTTTTTTCTCATGCACTAGTTGCAAGGGCCACCTACACCATGATTTTGTGCATGCTTAAATCACATTTTCAGTGCGTATGCACTCCGTAAATGCAGTACCCAGCGAGCAGGACCAGGGATTTGATGCACAGCGCACAACACGGCAAGCACCAATGCCAAACTTCTCCCACAGAAGGGCCAAAATGCCACTGCCAAAATTCTCGTCGCAGAGGAACCTTAGCAGATGCGCCATCAACTTGGATGGCGAAGTTTCCTTTTCGGTGCCAGGGCAGACTTGTCGGGCCGTGCTCCAGCCACGAGCACAGCTGCGGAGCTCACAACACGGCCAAGCCACGAGTCCCATCCAAGGCTCTTTATTCCTCGGTATGCTATGTACAAATGGTCAGTCCCTGCTTAAAAAACGGGTGCCCCTGCGTCGTCTCGGAGGCACTTGGCCACTGCCCCCGGGAGTGCCCTGCCCGTAGTCCCAGCTCCTAGAACTTGACCTGCAGCAGAAAGCACTTGTGAGCACACTTCCCCCCTCCCGCACCCTGGCCTCGCACCCACCTCACTAGGAGTCCGACATGAAGTTCACCTGGCTCTTCAGCTCCTCCAGCTCCTTGATTTGCTGCCTTAAAAATAACGTTCTGCAAGAGAGGCCTGCCATCAGCTGCCGTTCATTCCTACAAGCATCACCCACCTCTGCTCTTGCAAGGTCGCTTGAATCTCGGCCAACCTGACCAGCGACCGCGCCATCTTCAGCTCGGCCGAGACTCGAGTGCAGTTTAAGCTTCCAAGGCTGTGCGCCTCCTCGCTGTACCGATTGGCCTGCGACAAGACAAGCATGGCGCACCCTGTAGTCCCGTCCTCGGCACATAGCCCCACAATGTGAGCCAGACAGTCTGGGTCACCCCAAAGGGATGTTCCAGATAGGTCTACCCCTCATTTGGCAACTTCACACATCTTCTATGCTACTCTTCTTACTTGCATAATGAGCACACTTTTCAAGAAGATTTGAGCCTCACAAAAGGGAATATTGAGCGGAGATTTTGAAGACGTGTCCTAAATGACACACCTGCAAAGTCGTCAAAAACGGAACGACCGATGGACTAATGCAGAACAGTGCAGAGTGTCCAAAACATGCGAGGAAGTTTTTTTGTTTTTTTTCCTTCCTCCCACAAGTTTTGAGTTTGAAAGGGTACTGCAACGACATTCGAGCGCCTATTTTTTTGTTATCTAAATGTCGACCATGTTCGGCCACACTACAGACACACAAATATTTTTGTTTGAAAAGGCATAAAAACATTATTTAAAACCAATAAACCGACTATCCGATTGCACCTGATGGATGTCCCCAAAGGGACTTGGAGTGTTGTCCCCCATAAAAGCAGCGCCACTTTGCGATAGTATGATGGCAAGCTGCTCGGGCGCTGCTCCCCGTCGAACCGGATTTCCCTTCTCTCCTGCACCGATTCAACTGCTGCTGGGAGCAGGGAGAGGGCCGTTTGAAGGGCAGGTGAGTCACATTTTCGCCTCCGCCATGGCAATGCCAAACCAGTTGTCGGCCATCTCGAACAGCCAGGTCGACACTACCAAGTGGTGGAGCTCACAACCACGCCAGCCTCTCCCTAATGCATTGCCCGCAAAGGTAAACATGTCACCAATGCGCTGGAGGTGCCATATCTCCAGAAAGGCATCGCGCTCTCTGATGCCTGCTCTTTGGAGTGCTCGCTGAAATCCGCCATTTCGAACAAACAGTATAGCCATTCATTCAAAATACAAACATGCAATTGTCATTTGCAGATTTTGTTAATCATATTTAAGTTATTTCTGAACATGAGAAGTATTTTTATATTTAAATTTATATGTTAATTTTATTTTTAATTTGTTAATGTGAAAAAATATGATACCTCCAGCAAGAAACTAGCTTGGGATCCAAAAGATCATAAAGTAACCGCAAGTGAGCAACTAATTTCCCGCGTCTTGCTTTTTGCTTCAGTTCCAAAGGCTTGAACAGTACGATTATCACACAGTCCAAACTTTTCCAGATATTTAAAACCCATAAAAATGGTTGAAAATAGATCTATGGCTCAAGTTAGGTTTCCATCATTTGATAAAGCATTTTAATCCCAATGACAGATTACTTCAGTGAAAACCAGAAACAGGCCAATACAGTCAAACTAACTTATAACAAACCCGGGAATAGCAAAATATTCAATATAAACTAATGTTTGTTGCATGCTGCTGCTGGCATACTTTCAATGTAATCTTAGCCCACTTTTAACAAAAAGAACTCAAGGCAACACCAAGAATATAATAAAAAAAGAAAAATTTGTTTTTGTGAAAGACCCAAAACTGGAATGCGAGAAATTCACAGAAAATAAAAATGTCTTTTTGCCATGGGCCAAAGGCATTCTAAATACATAGCATTTATAGGGCCTCTTCATTTTTCCGGGCAGAGTAAGGGCAGTGAAGGGCACATTTTGAGGTTTTTTGTGAACATACGAAGCCCTCAATGTCACAATTTCATGTTATGTTATTGTCTCGTGTAAAGTGTCATCACGATGTCAACGTCATAAGGTCACACAACACCATGACATCATAATGTCATACATGCCACAGTGTTACGTGACATTACAATTGGACATCATCGTGTCACCTATACTTCGTTTCAGCTTCCGTCCGAGCGCGGCCGATGTTATGAGGTGAAGGGCCAATCAAACACCGCAAAAAGCGCAGCGTCATGGCGTGCTCTCTGCGCTTGATAAGACTAGCCGGCGGAGGAGCACGCACCGAGACACGGCGAATACCGGCTGGTCCTATCAACTGCAGAGAGCACGCCATGACGTTGTGCCTCTTTCGCTGTTTGATTGGCCCTTGGGCTCACAACATCAGCCACGCTCGGACCGAAGCTGAAACGAAGTATAATGTTGCAGCGTCTGGTGGTGGTGGTCACAGAGGACCTTAAAGGGACACTGACACCCCCCAAGATTTTTTAAAAATATTTTGCCAGGCAATTTATTATGGTGTCAAAAGACTACCCAATCAATATTTTGCTATAGCCTCACATATTTTTAATAGAAAAAAAAAATGCAACTGCTTGAAACCGAAACTAGACTGGGGAGGAGGAACAAATATAGAGGAGGAGAAAGTTACCAGAAGTCACGTGGCTGTGCAATTTTTTTTTTTTTTTTTTCGCTCAATGCATTTGATGCTTTTAGAAGCCACAAAAGATGGGTATCATATTTATTGTCTATTTTTAGTATTACCTTTAGTATTACCTCTAAACCAGAAAAAATGGCACGTGACCAGGGAGAAGAGAGTGAGCACAACTCAAACTGGCCAGTTCTCGACCGGTTGTTTGCGGGCAGAAAAAAAACGAATTTCGAGTCGCAAATTGTGTCCTGGGTAGATGGGCTCTCGTGTGTCATGTACAAATAAAAACCTTGGCGTGCATAAATACCCTGTCAGTGTCCCTTTAAATGCTTTAAAGCACCTTTGAGATTATGCCATGCAACACTGCAACGTAATCGAGGCCTACATCCGCAAACACAATAACTCCAAGAGCTGGTCCTATAAATACTATGCATAGAAAACCTTCCTTGCCTTATAGACCGTTCCATTAGGGTCATAGCAGAGAGGGTAAAAGAGAAAAAAATGCACTCCCCCTCTCACCCCGCACGTCGTCCGCTCCGCCGAGTGGGCTGTAGCTCGCGTCCGGCTGGCATGCAAACTGTTTAAAATTGCGTCATTTTGGAACTTTCAAGCGCAGATGCGCAGATTTTGGTATGCCAGTTGTCGTGTACTACTATGCTAGATAAAAAGACTCACAGGGTCCAATTGTGCTGTTACCTGCGTGCAAATAAAAAAGAAAAATAGGGAAAAACTGCATCAGATTGGTTGGTCTCTTTGGCGAAAAGTAAATCCGGTTGCTGTACCTTTTTTACTATACAAAGTTCGTACTGCTGTAGGCCTTTAGCGACCATGAGTGGAAGTCTGAAATAATAAATAAAACATGCTCTCCTGCCGCAATACACGCAGTAGTTGAGGGTAGTACTGCCGGCTGACTCAACTGCTTTTTAAGTAACGGAAAAAGGATATGCTAGTTGATCATTTAGCGAAATAGAACAACAGAGAGCTATAGGCTGATTTTGGAGTAGCCAAAACTATTCTAAGAACGCGAACCACTTCACAACGGCGGCCACAAGTGAGAGTTCGATGTTCCGTACTGCCCGCCGATACAGCCCAAAGATGGAGAACGGCAACCTCCTGGTTTGTCGTCTGCTAGCGGAGTCGGGCGCGTGCCCTCTCTCCCGTTTTACCCCGCTGAACTTCCCGGATGTGTGGAGAGGGCGCTGCGGTCGAACAAAATGGTGCCGCCCGGAGAGCGCTAAATGGAATGGTCTACATCGGATGCATTTTGCCATTGATGATGTTCTGGAAGAAAGCTCACGCTTGTCTACGCCCGTGAGATTTGGCTTTGCCACAACATGCCGCCCTGTGTCGTCTGGGAAAAGCTGATGAGAAAATTCCTCGGCTCTCCAGAGGATGGCACCGTAGCCAAGTGCGTATGATTCTCGGCACGTGTGCACGTCGACCTGCAACCTTGGACTGCAGATCTTTCATTGTCTTCTCTTTTTCCCGCACTAAGTATGTCATCCACTTTTTTACTTTTGGTTCTATTCGTTTTGTTGTGCGAGTCCGAGTGTATCAGGTCCACAGACCTATGCACGGAATGAATTGAAGAGAGTTGCATCCCATTCCATCTACTCGCTCAGAGCGGTACTCTCAATCGTTGCATTTTTTCCAAACGTGTGGCAAGACCGAAAATGGAAAATGCTATCCATTACAAATGATGGAAATACAATGGCAGTCAAAAACAGACTAAGAAAAGGCTCACAGAAGACACATCATTCTGAAAACGATCAGAGACTACAACTAAATGATATATTCCACTGCACAAAAAGATATTTTGAAACCACCGAATGGGAGCTAACGAGGGATCACTGCACATGGATAAGCACCGAAGCTTTTTCCTCATATTCGTACAAAGACTGCCAATATTTGTGTGATACCAAGGGGGCTGCAGCCACATTCTCTGGCTTAACGTCCTCAAATTGAGAATAACATCATCTTAAATGAGAAACAGAAATGTTATGCGGTCAATGCTGCTACGGTATTTGTTACACTGATGTGTAGCCACAGAAATTTGTGTCAAACAAGTGTCGACCCCCAAATTTTGCCAGAGCGGTTATCTCCCAATCTTAGCTGGACATGGATTCTGACACCCATCACAAGGAAAAACAGTGCTCAAAACAACACGAAGGAAACAGGCGCCGATTCAGATAAAAGGGGTTTTTCTAAGATAGCAAAGAATTTTAAAAAAAAGGGCACTGTAAATAGGCAACTGATTCCTTCGGGATAACGTTATACACAGTGGCAGATATCAGGTAGAGAGCGTAAAGTGATCATTAGCAAGTTAATCACCTAAATGTAACTAATAAACTTTTTAAATATTTCTGCCAGCTGGCACGTTTTAATTGGAAATTTCTAGCAAGTAGTCAAAATATGCCATATCACTCCTTAGATTTCATGTAGCGAAATTCTAAATCCACGATATTCTCTGTTAAATACAAGCTATGAGCAGGCAGTATACCTAAACAAGATGCAAAACCAGCAGGGGGGGTCATTCCATGCCAAAGGAGATGCAGCAATCTTTTCACGTCTGGGATATGAATGAAAAACATCATTCAGACAAAGAAGCCTCTGAACTAAGGAATGGCCGAGTGGGCTAGCCCACACCAGCTCGGAGCACGTGGAGCGAAAGCTCGAGCTGCAGAACCCAGGATTCTGGGTTCAATCCCCACCCCTGCTCGTTTCCATCTGGATGAGCATCGGCGTGCGGTCGAGTATCACTACTGCGTGGTGAACGTTAAAGACCCCAGGCTAGCGGTTGTACTGCACTGGCTAAATTGCTCATCTACAGCTGGGAGATAAGTTGCCTATTGAGGCAGACTAAGGTTCTAGGCTGTGTAAACATACAGACACCTTAATTTTTTTAAGCCACTGAACTCCAAGAAAATTAGTTTTTTGTGAAAAAATAAATACATTTTTGCTTAAATTTCTGGAATTTGCATAAAAAACATTTCACTTCATTCATTTAATATACCCTTGAAGGGATACTACAACGAAATTTCGGCGCTCATTTTTTGGTCTATATGTGTTCAAAGGAACAGCATCGCATCAAACATACCAATATCTTGTTAAAAAAGTCACGAAAATGAATTTTAAAACAAATTAAACGATTAGCAAAGAGCACCTGGTGGATGTCGCTAATGCCTCGCTTGTAATGCCCGTCTAGGAACCTTGGCACCTAGTGACGGAGGTTGTCTCGCCTCCGGCCACGACGAGAGAAGAGGGGCAGAAGAAACTTCCCTCTTCCCGAGAACGCCTTTTGTGTGTCGCAGAAGTCGCTATTGTCCCCCTACAAGATTACAGAAGATTAACCCGTCACTCAAAATTCGTACAAAAGCAGCCGCTTCGGTGGCTGGAACGACTAGGCCATCCTCTCGACGTCAGCCTCGCCGTAGCTTTGCTTGTCCTGAGATGACCTACGTCACGATTGCGTCAGATGTCACGTGGTCTCCGCTAGGCCTTCTCCGAGCGCTTGCCAGAGTGGGCCGTTTATAACGAAAAATACAGCCACCAGGCTCAAAATACAAACGTGCGATTGTCATTTACGGATATTATGGATCATATTCAACCTATTTTTGAACACAATGGGAATATTGCAAATTTCATTGAAGTATCCCTTTAAAGCGTTTACATAAGGGGAGGCATACACAACAAATATTCAAAAAATGGAAAACACAGAGATGCGAGGTTGCTAAGTATTAAAAAAAGTGGCAAGTGCAGCTCTGAAACCGGACGATTCCTGGATATTGACAATATTTTCTGGAAGTGAGTTCCAATTTGAAATGGATAACTTAAGCGATGAAAATTTGCAAAGGTTTGTTCTTGGTTTAGTCAAACGAAGTTTTTGAGAATGGTCCATATGTGGTGAAACGTGATGTGCAGCCGGGCAATACAGCAATACAAGTTAAGAAAAACATTGGAAAAAAAAACGGTTATGTACCACACTAATTTAGGTGGGCACCTAATTATTTAATAACATGCCCTATCTTACACTAAAATACAAACATCGAAAGACGCCATTTTGAGTCGAAATAGGAGCTCCAAAACGAAGAGACTTCATGAGAGTTCTTTATTTTATTAGCCAACTTGGATTTGGGTGTTAGCTACAATACTGTTTCCCTTTGTTCTCTGGAGTCTAATAATTGAACTGCTTGTATTAGATTTCCAAAGCTTCGTTTTGTTGCACTTTAATTAAATGACAAACTCACCAGTTTATGCAAAAAAATGACATATCGAGAGCCAGAAAAAGCTATGTGGGCAGCGGTGCCCAGAGCTTTCGAAATAGCCAAAAGTTCAATCCCACCTCACTTCTTCAGAATATAAAAGAAGTTAGAAAAGTACTTTTTGTTGTTGCTGAGAAGTTTTTTTTTTTTAATGAGCCTCTCCAACCATGGGCGTACCAACCGGGGGGAGCAAGGGGGGCACTTGCCTACCTAGTTCTCAGAGCGGAAAGGCAAGGCACGTCACAGCGCCCGTGACTCGGAAGATGGTGAAGGAGTTGAGAGGTGCCAGAAACCTCAATCTCTAGCATTTTTTAAAATAAAATCTAGGACATGCAGGCAAAAGTGTCTTGTTCCTTACATCAGAAGGGTCGTAGCACAAACTCCCATGATTACTTAAGCAGAGCACTGAAATTATTGCACAGCTCCTTTAACTACATGGGTTTTATGAAAATTCCAGAAATCTAGTGCATAATGTCAGCAAAAATAAAATAAATTTTTCCACAAAAAACTAATTTTTTTAGAATTCAGAGGCCTCCTTGTAAAAATTAATTTTTTTGTACATATCACAGACACGAAAAAATTGCCACATTTCCTTTGGCATGGAATGACCCAGGGAAGTACAACCCAAAAGCGACGTCACGTCAGCCTCCGGAGTGGACGCGTGCAGTAGCCGACAAGTGGACGCGTGCAGTAGCCGTCTCCTCGGGCACTTGGCTTTCTGCGCTAGTTTTAGTGCGGCGAAAACTTGACAGACAAACTTCGCCAAAGAATAGTGCAAAACAGTATAGTTGTCTCAATTCTAACTACTGCTAAGGCAACTACTGCTAAGGCAACTAAGACTGGCAACTAATTTTTGACTGGGATGTTTCAGCCAAAGCAAATATTTAAAATAGCGGTAATTTGCTATCTGTCACTTTACCGTTTCTATGCGATGCCCCCGCGGTGGGCAATGTCATACCAGAGGAATCAGTTTTCCGTTCCCGAGCGTCCTTTTTTCTTAAAATTATTCGCCGTCTTAGAGCGAGTTGGTTTCACTGCACTCGTGCCCACGCGTGCCCACTCGCAGCGTGGAGGTGGCTACACTTTCCGAGTTGGTTCCGGCACTCCACGCATGCATGCACTCGCTGCACCGAGAAAATCGAGGGCCAGAATGCAATTCTGTCGTGCATCGCTCAGGCAAGGAGAGAGAGCAGACGACGGGGGTTCGTCTGTTACTGGTCTGCTGCGAGCTGCCATTTGCACAAAAAGAAAACAAAAAGTGGATTTTCCGCTAGAAATCGTGTCCTGCAAGAGACGAGATTGATTGTGAGCTTGAATTGTGACTTTCTGCTATTTCATAAAGGAAACAATCGACAACCCATATTTTTGCAAGTTTTGTTGCCGTACAGTCGCTGAAATTTATGGAGGAGTAAAGAAAGGCTCGGGAGAAACGCCTAAGCAGCCGCAAGATCTCTGTCATGAGTGTACGGGTGAAAAATCGTCGGCAAAATATGGCTGATTGTGGACTCACAAGTGGACACCAATTGTCAATAAAGCTTGCCCAGCAAAACCGATGCGCCCTAATTAGCAGCCGAGAAAGCTAAACACGGTGATTCTAACCGTGTCTTGGATAAAATCACCATGTTTAACCTACACCAGTTATTTTGCATTCTCGTTATTTATTCCAGAAAGCTCTCGAAAGTGCCGTGAAACGTAGTGCTGGAGATTCCAATGAACCAGTTTGAAACTATACCATGACAATCCAATGGTTTAATCATTGCAAATATAAACGTAGCAGCGACCGCACTGTGTTGCGTTCCTACCTGTTATGTCAAACATCAGGGCACTAGTTTCGGTTTGAGGTCAGTACTCTTGCTACAACATGGATGGCGGCAGCATCAGTTTGCACTCTAGCAAGTTCGTTCAGGACCGGTACACCGTGTGACACTCTGCGAGTGCGATAAATTCTGGGAGCGAAGTCACCAGTGCCAGTGCGTGTGGAACAAACCCGCGATTAGAGGAAACATTCCATATTATAGCGCAGCTCTTAGGGGCCTGTTTCCGGCTTGAGCGGCGTCGGCGTCGGCGTCGCCGTCGCCATAACCGCGAGGTCACGTGACCCCCCCCCCCCCTGAGGTCACGTGACCTACCCAGGTCACGTGACCCCCAGAAGTCACGTGACCCCTGAAGTCACGTGACCCCCTGAAGTCACGTGACTTCTGGGGGTCATGTGACCTTAGGGGGTCACGTGACACCCCTAGGTCACGTGACACCCCGAGGTGACGTGGCCCCCCGAGGTCACGTGACCCCCAAAGGTCACGTGACCCCCAGACCCCTGAGGTCACGTGACCCCCTGAGGTCATGTGACCCCCTAAAGTCACGTGACCCCCTAAGGTCATGTGACCCCCGAGGTCACGTGAGCCCCTGAGGTCACGTGAGCCCCTGAGGTCACGTGAGCCCCTGAGGTCACGTGAGCCCCTGAGGTCACGTGAGCCCCTGAGGTCACGTGACCCCCTGAAGTCGCGTGACCTCAAGGAGTCACCTATCCCTCAGTACGCTTCCACCTTCCTCAAGAGCTGCGCTCTAACCGGCGTTACAGGGAATTGTAAACGGCTTTCATTTTATTAATAAAAGAAAAAGAAAAAAAGGAAGCGTTTTTGAATTTGAAAAAGGACGAGCAACTTGGCCAGCTTGGCACAAGTGTTCGAGGACGATCGGTGCAGTAAGCGGGGGTGCACACCCACAAAAGCAGCAGAAAAGCTTCCTACCTGGCGTTCGGCGTGGTCCGCCTGCCAGCCCGTGACGTGGCCAATCAGGGCCTCGTTGTAGTAGTTGGCTAGTGACGGCGTCAGGCTCGGGGCCGTCGGCTTGAGCACAGCCGTGACCAGGGCGCTGGGGCCGCCCACACTGTGCAGGCTGCTCACGCTAGACGTCGGGCTGTCGTGCCTGCAACCACCCGCCCACTGCAAACACAGCACCGCACTCGCCCACACCGCATTGCCGGGCACATTCAACGGCCGCAAACTCGGTGGTCGGACCATGCGACCATGCGTCCCTCCTGCAGTTCTGCCCTCGGACCTCGTGCACCTCTCAGTCTTTTGCTATTGTCTTAAAATTTTGGGCCGAACAACGACGCAGCATATGTATTCAATACCTAACCCGCGCTCGCCCTCGGTAGGCGATGCAACACATTCGACGCCACGGCTTTCTGCCGCAGTAGTCCTGCTTGCCTTCCTGTACCGACTGCGCCGGGAAGGAGTTCAGAGGTTATTTTGCAAGCTCTTCAATGGCTACTCTACTTGCTACAATGAGCGACAATTATAATACGGGCAATTCTGCTTTTTTAACTACAGAAGCTTCCCCTCAACACCGCCGTCTAACGCACCTGGACGAGTGGGCACTGTAGTCCGAGGAGGGCGACGCCCCCCCCTTGTCCGTGACAGCCAGGGGAGGCAGCGGCTGGCCAGGCATGCACTCCGCCTCGGGTCCCAGGGCAGCTGAAACATGCAACACCATGCAACCTGAAAACGCCGCTTCCTCCACAAACAAGGACCCACCGTGTGTCCCTTTCTCTTTTCTGCTCTCGGGCCTACCGAGCACTCATCCCATTTCTTTGGAAATTATATCCAACTGTTAGGTGGGTGCTTGTTCGGTATTTTACACTATACTTCATGTCACTAGTTGTGTGCAGTGCAGGCGAAGGCAACGCCAGGCGAAGAGGAAAAGGGCAAGCACTAGGAAGGCAGGATAGGAGAGGAGGGCGACAGGAGAAAGGGAGAGCCCTAGGAATGCTAAAAAGGAGAGGAGGTTTCTCTCCTCCACCTCAGCCCTCGTAGTGCTTGCCCTTTCCCCTTCGCTTGGCGTTGCCTTTGCCTGTACTGCACGCAACTAGTGACACAGAGTATAGTTTTAAATAACAGCTGCAAAAAAGAAGTCAACCTGTATTTGTACCAACATGGTAGTAATCCACAGTTGTGAAAGTTTAGGTGAAATAAATGGTGCGTGTGAGCACTGCCTCCTGTCTCATGTACAGGTGCCCAAAAGCGTTGTTGGTTGTTATGTTTTCCCACATCGTACATTGTTTCATCATGGTTTTGACAAACTTATTCATGAGGTTTTACTGTACTTTAGGATGTCACAATTTGCCCAAAATTTACCCATCAAGTGCCCAGTGCATGACCACCGAGCTAGGTCAAAGTCATTTTATAGTTTATAGTCCTACTGCCCTAAAACAACTTACTGTTGGAATAATTTTTCACTATGCTCTTCTAATAGCGCCAGTCACTATACTTTGTTTTTATATATTGAACAAAATGTTGTATTTTTATCCTAAAATGCCATATCCACTATTTCTGCATCACAAAATGTCTTGTGTATCTCTTTTTATCGTTTGCTATTGTTTTGTATCGCCTTACACCCCTACAATAATGCCCAGAACTGGGAGATGTAGGTATTTGAATAAATAAATAAATAAACAAATAGTCAAGTTTCATCACAGCAGGTACCTTGTGACTAATTACTTCTTCGAGCCTTATACCATGCCATCACTCGGGGCAAACGACTCAACAAGAACACAATTAAATTGAAATGGCGACGGTATACCTCCCAGAAAAAGCAATCGGCAACTGGTATGCCCTAGCAAAGAACTGAGGCTTCGTTTAGACCACCTCGTAATCTTTAACATGTAAGCAAAGTTTCCATTAGATACAATGCCTAGACAATAACTGGCCTAACAGGCTGGACGGACAAAAAGACACGTTGGAAAGGAGGGCACATGACCCTGAACCAACTGCCCCAGCAGGCTACTGCCTCGAGCGTCGGGGAACAGGACTCAATGGGACAGAAGCCCACGATGCGAGACATCGGCAATATGGCGATGAAGTGGCAAGGTCAGAAGGAAGGCTTAGCTGCTAGTGGAATGGGCAAAATCATTTCTCGCAACAGCTTTCCCGATTAAATTGCAGTTGCTCGGCAGGCTTGTTTTTCTAACACCGAGTGCTCGGAAAATCTCAAATGTATTGAACAGTCGAGCATGTGCAGAATACTGTACGACAACACATACGACTGGTTACCTATAGACGCTTTCAGGAAGTCAGTTACTCGAGCTGCCACCAGTCGGCGCGCCCTACGTGCACTTTCCGATCCGCCATAGCCGACCTTCAGTTTCTCGCCGTTGCTCCGCGTTATGTGCTGCACCGGCCACCACCGGAGCCTTGTTTGCGTGTTCTTTTACGTTCTGCATTGAAATCTCGTGTTTTCTTTAGGTCTTTTCAATATTTCGGGCTTTCATCTGGTATCTATATATAAACATAGCTCTTGTATTTTCTTATTTATGAAATGGAATCGGACAGCGAATGAATCGACGATACAAGGCTATGGCCCACAGCTTCAGAGACCATGTAAGTTCATCACATTCTTACTTTTTTGTCGCTAATAAAGGGCCGTCAACACCATTGCGACATGCAAATCTCAACTGACGCAGTAAGGCTATTGCAGTCGCGCTTCTCGCTGCATGTGCGCGCTTTAGACATTGTTTCCGTAAAGCCAAACCGCACGTAAGCCATTTTGCGTGCGATAAGAGGAGCTACAGCCACGAGTCAGCGACGAGCGCAGAAATTTCTCACTGTCGCCAGTCACATCGCTTGGTTTTTGGATTTCTCGGAAACGTCGCTCACCGTCTTGGTCGCTTGCTTCCGTGCGGTTTGCCTCGTCGCGCGACTGACCGAGCAACAGCGAAGCAGGGTCGCCGTCGCTTGTTTCGTTGCTTGCCGAATCGCTTGCATACGGTTTATTCTTAATATTGAGGAGCCAATGACTCAATGCTGTACGTGTGCATCGAAATTAATTAAGCATAAACCACATGCAAGCGAATTGGCGAGCAACGAGACAAGCGACGGCGACCCCGCTTCGCTGTCGCTCGGTTAGTCGCGCAAGAGGAAAACCGCATGGAAGCGACAGGAGCAAGCGACCAAGAAGGTGAGCGACGTTTTCTCGAAATCCAAAAACCTAGCAACGCGACGGGCGACAGTGAGAAATCTCCGTCGCTCGTCGTTGTCGCCGTCGCTCGTCTCGTCGCACACAAAATCGCTTACATGCAGTTCGGCTTTACGGAAAAGATGTCTAAAGCGTGCATATGCAGCTAGCAGAACGACTGTGATCGCCTTACTGCGTCAGTTGAAATTTGCATATGTCGCAATTGTGTTCACTGCCCTTAATTAACGACAAAAACGTAACAATGTGATGAACTTACATGGTCTCCGATGCCTAGGCCATAGTCTTGTATCTTCAATCCGTTCGCCGTCCGATTCCATTCCATAAATAAAAAAATACAAGAGCTATGTTGAAATATAGATATCAAATGATTGAATGAAAGCCCGAAATATCGAAAAGACCTACACGATTTCAACCTGGAACGTAAAAGAACACGAAAACACAGCTCCGGTGGTGGCCGTTGCAGCACACAACGCGGAGCAACGGCGAGAAACTGAAGGTCGGCTATGGCGGCAGGGTCAAGTGACGTCAAGATGGCGGCGCCCATGAAATGCTGCCTGAAAGGGTCTATATAGTACACATGCAGGAGCACTCCAAAGTGGTACACAGAAGAACCTCAATGATTCATTCCTACCGATATGCCTTCCCAGGATTTATCTTCAAGGCCACCAGACCCACCTCTTAGAAGCAATGCATTCATTTACTAGTTTCGTTGCAATTTTTGAACTCCCATGATTGTCACGTTAAGAATGCCACGACAATTTATTTAGTACGAAACAAACTCGTGAGAATGTGACGTGCAATTCAATGGACAAATGCAAGTCTGCCTTCTGAATAGGGCAGCTGGCTGCCTTGGCACTATCAGGGGGAAGGGAAAAGGGCCCTTTGTCTCCTCAAGGAATGGTGTGGCTGGCAAAGTGCCTTCGAAGGCGTTTCTTTCACCGACACTGCAAGTTTCAAGTCGTGCTTCTGTTTCTGTACTATTCCGATTTCCTTTAGATGTGGGCGTCAAAGAAGTGAAGTTTGGCTGCTTTTTAAGAACACACTTGCCATACAATGTATCTGTTCACCAAACTTGCACGAAACACGCAAACTGGGTCTCGTAGGTGCGCCATCCTGATGGCAGCCAAACCAGCAAGCCGGCAACGTGTCAAAATCGACCGCTATTCAAGCATCGGTTCACAAACTGGGTTTCCAGGAACGTTCCCCAGAGTAGCCTCGTGGGCTCCAGAAGTATTGCCTCCCTCTTCCTAAGGGCTTTTTCAATTACTTTAGCAGATCCGAGCTACGTGGTCTGCAGGCTTCTGCACTATTTTATTGAAACAATGCCAAGGCTCACCATCAAGAGGGATGGGTGTTCCTCGCGATTCAAAAATTTGAAAATCCCCACATTAGTGGAATGCCTTCTGGATCAACCATCCAATCATTGCCCACCTACGCGCCATCGAGCGAGGAAATGGCCACAAGCGCAGGTCTACAAAAGTGCAATTTCGGCCTTGAGCTAGCGGCCTCCTCTGCTAAAACTGCTCCTCTGCGCCCCAAGTCCCGCAGCTACCGGTTCGGTGGCTGCCAGGATAGCGCTCTCTAGCTCGCTTGGCCTTTATTTTATCTGTACGGCATTCAAAACCTTGCTCTTGAAAGCTACCCCAATCCTGAATATCTGTGGAAGAGAAATGCTTGCCTTTCATCCACACCACGGGCATAGGAATGTGAAAAGAAAGGATATTTTCTTTTTGGGGAAGGGGGGGGGGGGAAGGGGAGATAATGATGCAAACCTTTGCAAACCATAATTGGGAAGACGAAGCAGACATACGAGCAAATGCGGTGCCTAGTCTCAGAGTGCTGCGTGTGTCAGAAACCCCAATCGATGGAGCAACGGAAAAGTATGAGTGATCTCTGGCCCTTCTCGCTACAGGGTCGTGAGACAATAGAGAAAAGACACTTACTCGTCTGAGCCTGCTTGGTCAGCTGCAGCGCCTGCTGTATTGTCCGGTACGCTGCATGAGAGAGACGTTTCTCACTCTTTCTGTTTTGGCAGAAAAAGGGGCAGCCCCCCCCTCCCCCGTGGGGCCCCTAAGTGCCCAGTGCAGCATCCCCTTCTCTCCCCTCCACTCACTCTGAGGCTCTGTAGCCTCCTGCCTTCTATCCTACTTCCAGCGAGCCCTACTCGACCAATTATGGAGTGCCAAGAGACAACCATTCTCCCGCCGGTTGTCCGTTTGCGGACAGAAAGAGACTTGACGCTTCTTTTGTGAAAACTAGAGTGAGTAAGCAAAAACAGACGGCTGTAGTGACTTCTGGGAATTTCCTGAATATCCGAGAGATACCACCCCCGCAAGGCAGCCAGCCTACCGCTTTTCGGAACAATTTTCTATTTACGCAAAGGCACCAAAAGATGGCCCACCGCCAGAAACCAGACAGGCCAGGTGACCTCGGCAGAAATAAAGTAAGCCCAGATGGGAGATAAGTAAATAATGGAGACTGGAAACGACTGGCAATCTTTGGCTGAAAAATCTCTCGCGTGCAACTCTCATTCTTTTGCTTCCTTGCGACACCTTGATGATGTCAAAGAAATGAAAGGTGTTAAAAAGAACCTCGGAGCATTCTTTGCAAAGTCCAAGAAAACCCAGGACAAAATATGTGGATTTGAACTTGGCTTCGTCGGAAAGTATGAAGAAACCTGGCAAAAGGTTCGAGCCGATGGTACCAATGCAAACAGAAAGTGTGAAGCATGAACAGAGATGAAGGAAGTGAGGCCGGCAGATGTGAACATCGATGGCAAAGTTCTATGAGGGAAGACTACCAAGATTCAGCTCTTTTCGGATATTATTATTTTTTGATGATATATATTTTTCCATTCCAGCAAAAAAATCCTATCAAAGAGATTCAATTGCGGATCAACCCATTGAAAATCCCTTTCATTCGTCTCCTTGCTGTGGTTGGCTGTTCTTATGGCCTTGCCCGTTTAGCCATGTGCGTGTGTAGAGTGACACCGGCTACTGCACCGGTGTCAAATGATTTGTGGCACCATTTTGAGATAATGTTTAGCTGATTGAGAAGGCGAAGCTACTAGCGTAGAATTAATAAAATAAATTTAGAGGAAGTCCACCAAGTTCCCATGCATTTTCGCATGGCAAGTTGGTACAGTCCTGGTGGGCCCAAGTTGCTCGAGAGGCTTTAGTAAAAACGAAGCCGTAAAATATAACTTGCAAAGTCGGTACCTAGTCTTTCCCAGCTTTATCTTTCACAACAACACCAGCATGTGTTGTACAAAAAATAAAACTAATGCTGACAAGCGATTGGACAACTACAGTGCGTCATGACAAAACAAATTCATTTTGTTTCCCATTTTTATGTCACTCTTTCTCCTTTCTTCTAAAGACCGCAGATGTGAGCGCTGACAACTGACCACACTTCGTTCTTATTTATAGACCTTTCCGAAAAGAGCTCTCTGGCCGCCGCCATTCTGCCACCGTCACAACCCCTATCAGCCAGAAATTTCTGCCACCCGCAAGGATTGTGGAAACCCGGCCAGTGCAACACTCCACCTGCGCTTTATTGGGATCGCCGGTTTTTCTTGAAAGTTTTTATATTATTTGCCCATTCAGGATGCGTACCATCTTTGTGTCATCTTCCCCGGTGAGACCCAAGGAATACCAAGGCTCACAGCCTGCTCGGCCTTTGCGAGAAGCAAACAAAAAAGCGAAGATCGACTGGCCGGTGACGGGGGGGGGGGGGGGGGGGGGCCGTTCCGACATTCTTTGGGGATTATCTCTGCCGAGATAATCTCCGGAAAGTAGGGGTGTGTGAACATTCGAGATTTTGAATACGAACAGAATATTTTTCTTATTCGATTCGAGAATTGCATATTCGGAAATTTCCTAATATTCGGTAATGGCCGAATATTCGGGCAATGTACAAATATTCGAGCAAATAGCAAATATTCTGCGCACGGGACATGCCCTGAACATTTAGTTTCCTTAAAAGCCGCATTTGGTCACCAAATATTGCGGGTATTGCATCTATTTTTTTATAAACCCTTGCCGCTTACGTTATACATAGAACTAATTTGTTTGCATGATCTAACGTCCAGGCAGATTTAGCTCCCAGGTATTCAAAAAGTAAATTGCTATCGATATTCTACCGCGCAAGTAAAATGATCAAGGTTGAACACATGCCTCATAGAACCGATTTTATGAAACGCGCGCCAACACAAAAATAAATGCTGTGCACTAGTCACCGTTGTCAAAGTTTGACAATGGTTCTTTGCTGTCGACAGAGGTAATCCTTGCTTACGTCTGAAGCGTTTTAGGTGCCGCGCTTCTCGCGCTTGTACGAGTGCGCGACCATCACCTCTGGGAGGGTAGTCTTCCAAAACAACACTTTGCGAGCTCATTGGGTTGCTGGGACTGAGAGGCCACGCAGTGCTACTCCGTTGTTATCTTTTCCCGCCAGCGTGATGGCCTTTCGTTTAAATAAAGCCTCCTAGTGGAATTTTTTTTTTTTTTTTATCTTAACGGTTGACAAAAGTTTATAGATGCAAGAGAATTTGCGTGATACGGTTACCAAAATGGCGAATGTAAACAAACGGTCACGATGGCAATGGGGCTAGTCACCTTATATCGAGTATTGCATTTTTCTTTTAAGTTTCAGTTTTTGGTTTAGACGGTAACGTGCACGCACTTTTGGGCACCGAACTTGGCAAAAAAAGTGTGCGTTAATTGTGCAAACGTATTAGCTCATGACAAAGGAGCAGTTTGTGTTTTCATTTTGCCAAGCCTGTGTTGTGAGTCACTTTTCTAGCGACCTTATAATTTCTGCTGCAGGAGCAAGGGTACTTTCTGCTACAGGACCATTTGTCACGGCAAAAAGGGAGTGCATATGTACTGAACATGCGGAACAATTTTCTTACGTGATAATTTGCAATATTTGCATTTGCAGCTGATACCTAACTTACTGGCTAGACAAGGGAAATTTCAATTATTTTCTTAAAAAAAGTCACTACCAGTTGTTTGTGTGACAACATTAGAGGTTGCATTTTTACATGCTATCCAGACATGCAGAGCTTTGTACACACTTAATTTTGTCAATTTGTACAACTTATCAGTTGCACCTTCTGCCTGCTTTCATGTACAGTTGACAGATGATTACTAGTCAAGGTACAATCGCTGTGTTACCAATTGCATTGTTTATATGCTGCCTAGTTGGGTAGTTTCATTTACTTGAAACTGTTATTTTCAGTTTGGAAAACAACATAGAAAGTATTTGTATATTTTTATTTGTTATTTCCTTAATGGTAGACACATATTCGAAACATATTTGATATTTGAAGCTATTTTTTTCCAATGTCGTATTTGATTCATATTCCAAACTTCCAATATTCGCACACCCCTACCGGAAAGCCTTCGCGGGCTTCATGCAAAATAGCCGATCGGGAGTGGGGTAGGGGCCAGAACAGACCCTCCAGTTCCTTTGCCTTAGTGCTGTGCAAGAAACAAGCTCTTCTCAAATTGTGCCCTAAAATAAGACCGGATTTTGCCCTATGGTCACGAAGTGACTGCCGTCGACACTGCAGAGTGAACATGCTGTGTTATTCGAGCTCTTTCACAAATAGACACTGTCCGGATAATGCGGCACCATGGGGTATGTACAATATGTTGTTCGATTGGTGAGAGCTGTTCAATTTCATGTTGTAAGCGGTGAGTACCCAGGCTTTTCGGCCATCTTGTGTGGCCAGACATTTGATGGTTAAGACCCTTGTAGATCGACACTGCCAAAACTGTGGCCATTGTGAAAAATCTCCATAAAATAAAAAAACATTCCAGTTGCATTTGATTTTGTTCTGTTGTGCACAGACTCACCAAAAACAGCTTTCATTTGTTTGTTTTTGTTCCCAAAGATAGTACAATGCTTTCTTAAAAGCCTCGAGAAATTCTATTTGCCATAAAACACAAAACAAACAATAATATACAGAAATTTAGCCGCCAACAGCGTCCGGAATCGCTCCTGCGCAAGCTGCCACAGCCCACTGATGAGAAAACCCACAGCCCAGTGCAGTCGGGCAACACTGACATACTCTCTCAAAATCAGGGACGCGCGCTGTAAATCGCTTCGTTCGAGACTGCCGCTAGAAAGGTCTATACAACTCCGGAAACTAGGCCAATGGGCAGAAAGCACTCGTGAATGGCAGCCCAACATTAGTGGCGGCGAATGGCCGTAACCAGCTTAGCCGTAGTGGTCAACGACACATGATCCCAGGCGGCCACCATACGATGGCGGAATCGCAACGTGCACTCAATCGCTCAATCCAGCTCCTCTACTCAGTAGGACATGAAGCTAGTCAGAACCAAAATGACAACTGTTCGGTTCACGGTGGCAGTCTGGCGGGTGCAAATGATGCGAGCCACGCAAACCTAGTTAAAAAAACAAGTGCAAGGCTGCAAGTGGACCACAGCTGCTTTTGCATGCGTTTCACTGTGCACTGGTATGACCAAATAAAACTGACACCGTGAAAAAGATGCCGGCGGTTGCAATTGCACCATGTTTGCAAATTCAATTGTTTTTTTTTATCAATTGCAGACATTTTCAAAATCCCACTATGGCTTGTTGGAATGGCGCGACTATATTTTGCTTCACAGCCGTCTAAATGGCTTTTAACCGGAAATAATATATAAAAAATACAAGGCAGCAAATTGATTGTCAAGGCAAATTTGTAGAAACCACAGGGGTGATTATCAATGAATGTGATAGCATTCCCAATGATTGGAAACTAAGATGAGACTAATATATAAAGGCAAAGGAAGCAAAGACAACATTAAGTTATATCACCCAATAATGGTAACTTCAGTTCTATACAGATTAGCTTTGCAGATAGTAAAGTGTAGAATGGAGCCATGGCCAGAAGATATACCGGCCGAGCTCCAAAATGGATTCCGAAGAGATAGAGAAGTGGAAGATAACTTATTTGTCACCAACCAATGTATAGAAATAGCAATGA